AACATAAGGCTGATAGAACAGCTGCTGGGCTCAATGAAACATAAGGCTGATAGAACAGCTGCTGGGCTCAATGAAACATAAGGCTGATAGAACAGCTGCTGGGCTCAATGAAACATAAGGCTGATAGAACAGCTGCTGGGCTCAATGAAACATAAGGCTGATAGAACAGTTGCTGGACTCAATGAAACATAAGGCTGATAGAACAGTTGCTGGACTCAATGAAACATAAGGCTGATAGAACAGCTGCTGGATTCAATGAAACATAAGGCTGATAGAACAGTTGCTGGACTCAATGAAACATAAGGCTGATAGAACAGTTGCTGGACTCAATGAAACATAAGGCTGATAGAACAGCTGCTGTGCTCAATGAAACATAAGGCTTATAGAACAGCTGCTGGACTCAATGAAACATAAGGCTGATAGAACAGTTGCTAGGCTCAATGAAACATAAGGCTGATAGAACAGCTGCTGGGCTCAATGAAACATAAGGCTGATAGAACAGCTGCTGGGCTCAATGAAACATAAGGCTGATAGAACAGCTGCTGGATACAATGAAACATAAGGCTGATAGAACAGTTGCTGGGCTCAATGAAACATAAGGCTGATAGAACAGCTGCTGGGCTCAATGAAACATAAGGCTGACAGAACAGCTGCTGGACTCAATGCAACATAAGGCTGACAGAACCGCTGCTGGATTCAATGCAAAATAAGGCTGGGAGAATAGCTGCTGGACTCAATGCAACATAAGGCTGACAGAATAGCTGCTGGGCTCAATGCAACATAAGGCTGACAGATCAGCTGCTGGATTCAATGAAATATAAGGACGACAAAACAGCTGCTGGATTCAATGCAACATAAGGCTGACAGAATAGCTGCTGGGCTCAATGCAACATAAGGCTGACAGATCAGCTGCTGGATTCAATGAAACATAAGGACGACAAAACAGATGCTTTCAGAACACAAGAGAGAAGCCAGAAAAGCCCTAGCAAAAGTTCTACCCGGATGTTGCTCTATCCATCCCTATTACCTTGTGCACAAGAAATTGTCGTGCCAGAATCTGCCCTATCAGTCATATTTGAAACCAAAGACAGACTCAGGTCCGGGTGTTCAGAAAGGTCATGGTCGACTTTCCACAGACAAAGTATCCTATTAGAAAAAATGCATTAAGGTGCGAGAGCTACTCTACCAACCAACCAGGTACTTCTTGGTTGCTTCCCTTACCTAGTGAGTCTAATGGACGGTGGGTGGGTCTGTCTGATCGGCGGAGTAATTAGGACGAGCCGCTTCGCGGTCCAAAGATTCAGCTATTCGGTTTGGGCTAAAGAGAGGGACGATGGGGAGGGCATTATAAGCTTCGGCTTGGTGGTCTGCTGTTTTTTCAGAACATATCAAATTAGTGGCAGGAGTACGGTCAACATCGCCAGGTATCTACTAGCGCGAGCCAATTTCTGATAGGAGCATAACACGAATTAAAGAAGAGGTTAAACATATTATTGGTGTCAACAAACAGATCATTAAAAGTAACTGCACTGTTTGAACTCGTGGTGTTATTCTGGGAAAGTTAGTTTGAAGGCGATTAGGTCTTGTCTTTGACAAAATAGGTCATTTCTTTGTGGTGAAAACAAAAGCTTATTCTGATTATTAGATCATATGTGGAACAGGTCATAGACGGTGTAGTACAAGCCATTAAGGGGGAAGACCAAACAACACACGCCCACACTAATATAGACCATATTTTCAGTACAACGTCTAGGAAGGGGGGGGGGGTTACAACCACGGGACACATCAAGGGCCTCAGCTAGATAGGGGCCCGCCCTATTTCGAGTTTTATACGCACATTTGAAACACGAAAGGGGCCCGAACTCTGTCAGGTGACCTGGGGCCCAGAATTTCCTAGGTTAAGGCCTGAGATTTTGGGCGAGGCAGAGAACATAGATAAATAAATAATGTTGATAATTTTAATAAAATTTGAACAAGGTATCACGCAAAAATTGAGTCAAGGCCGCTTGGAAAAAGTCAAATAAAAACATTTGATGTGCGTTTAGTTTAATGTTTGATAAACAAATAAGGTGTGACGCCATAATTTAAACGTTTGATTTTATCTACTAAATAAACATCATGAGATAATTTAAAAAATATTATACATACAATTCTTTCATGATATGATCAACAACTATCATAAATATAAACACAGCTAACACGTATACTCTATCATCAATTTTTACCAACACATAATTAGTTTTTGTGGGAAATTGTAACGAAATTCAGACAGTTCCACTGCCACCGTCAAATGTCAAAGGTCAGCACAAGTCTAAAGCTTGTGATTAAAGCTATTTATTAATAAAGTCTTCTTTAAAACTATGGCACATTTTTGTGAATGAAAGTAAACTCATTAACTGGGCGTTGTTCCGGCATTTAGTTCAAGTGAGGAAATGTTCTATGCTGCACATGTTCTTATTCTGGGGCTTATCTCAGGTGTAAAAATGGCCCATGGGTCACGCAGTGGCGTAGCTAGGGTTGGTGTCACCCGGTGTGGTAAACTCAGGGTGTCACTCACTTTCCCCATGACGGAGTCAAAATAAGTCCAACGCATAACAATGACAAGAACAAAAACAAATTAATAGAAGGCCAGGACGTAATAAATGTATTTAGAAACTGTAACAACGTTAAGGTCAAGTTATTTTTACTTTAAATTTTCTTTGTTTAAATGTTTCTTTTCTGGTCTTCACAGATGTAAACCTGTCATTATTTGATCAAAATCAATATCCTTTACCGTATCACTTTCACTGGATAGTAGATCCAGATCAGAAAGCCCTGACTATCCCATGGTGGATTGAAAATAAATCTGGCCAATATGGAATTTAGGTACAGAGAAGATTAATTTTTAAGAAGAGAGTGGCAGGAGAACAATTAATATATCATGGATTATCTGCGAGAAGGAAACGGTAAGGTGACATCTGGAGTGTATGGATCGCTTTCATTCTGATCTCCGGATAAGATCGTCAGTGATCAAGGAAGTAGCATATACGTTTGGGCTATTCAACCCAAGGGTCTGCTTTCAGCAAGTAAATAACAATTAGTAATTTTTGTTCCCATATCAACCTCTTTCCATGATGAGTTGTGAGAAGATGAACTTTTAAAAGAAATACCAAGGCTTAGAATATTTGGCCAGATTTTTAAACGTGTCTTTTCCAAAGCATGTTCCACCAAATGACACTGCTTTCCGTGCAGAAACAATCTTAAGGCCTCTCGGTTGGTAACCAGTTTGTCAAGAGTAAAGCTTTTAGTCTGCAGGTACTACTATGTAAGTTTAACTTCCTCGAGTCGATCAGCCCAAAGGTAAAGGTAGCAGATAAACGTGAAATCAGAGACAAATGTAAAAGACACTGCTGTACCTCTTGTATCCAAATTTTGGAGAGGATCACATAGAGCTTCAATCGCCACCACGCATTCATCAATACTATCGCATTATTTTCTCACGATTCACCATCATCCATCAGGTAGGACGATTGTTTTGTTATCTGGTGCACACCCCCTTTTGATTTTGCATCTTGCCTTGACTCAACATTGAATTTTTCGCTCTTGTTCTTAAACTAGGTACTATTTGCTGTTGTATAGAATGCATGCCACTGTTATCGGACGTATCAGTATCAAATGGTAGGCTGAGGAACTCTTTTCATGAACCCTGGTCGTTATTTGGTCTCTTGACATATCGAAGCTGAGGATCCTGTTAGGGATTTTAATGAGTCACGTTTTTATTGTTTTGCTTTTCACTGCTGGAACCCACAAGCTGCCTAGACTTGTGCACGCCGTGTGGCATGATAGAATAATCTTGAACAATAAAACGGCGTTAATTGCGTCGTGTTCAAGATAACAATTAAATAATTACTTACGACAGTTCAAAAAAACAACAGACGGGGCACTACACAAAATACAACATACAGATGTTGCAGGTAAAACCCAGCGGTAAAAAATATGACTGAAAAGTTTGTAAATATTATTTTGTTAAATAAAGTGTCTTTTTATGTTTTTAATTTTTAACTATTCGATTCATTTAATTGGAATATCCCGACCACATCGTATTTGTCATCAAATTTGAAGCCTTATGTCTCAGAATTTAGACTGATGTATAGACTCCTGTTAATGTTACCGAACACTTCAATTTGCGTTGATTCAAGGCCACAACGGTGAGGGGGGGGGCACCTCATTTTGGACGCATCAAACTTTAATTTTTTTAATAAAGCATGCATTTTGGATTGGTTACATGTGTGGTCGATTTACGTGTGATCTGTTATCCTTTTATGAAATTCAGTTTGACTGAGCAGAGTGTAAATGTGTAAATTTTCAATTTGATGTCACCCCTAAGATGGTGTCACCCGGAGCGGTCCGCACCCCTGCACACCATGGCATCTGACTGCAGGGGTGACGTGTAGTTATTTTGGAAATGTTAAATACTCAAACAAACGCTAGATGATTTGATTGCGTCATTCAGCCGCTGTACTTTTGGGTTTAAGCTACTATAGAATTACATTTGACATTTAAGTTCATCAAAATTACCTTGTCATTTCATTTCAAAGCAAATACAAAAAAAACAAAAAAAACATCAAAAAAAGTATAAGGTCTGTGAAGGACATGCAGTTATTCTGGGGCTTATATCGGGTACAGAAAATGGCTCATGGGTGACATATAGCTTCTCTTGAGATATAGATAAGTACTCAAGATTTGTTTGATGATTTGATTGCACAACTCATCAGTGGTACTTACTGGCACTTTTGGGCACTAACGGGTTTTAAGACACATTAGAATTACACGTGACATTTAATTTCATCAAAATGTACGCTTTATTTCGTTTACAATACAATTATCGTAGATATACTTACAACAACGCCAACACCAACACAACAACAACAAATCCAACAAGCAAACAAACACGACGATAATCTGAGGTCCTTGCTGAAGGCAGAGCCGGGCCGTAGGGTTGCCAGAAATTTGGCGGCTATACATTTTTAATAATTGATTGAAAAGTCCCGTTAAGAAGGCGAACAAAAATATCACTAATGAATACTCAAGCGGCACGGGCAACTCTTGCTGTAATATAAATAACATTTTGGGCACTGTTTGCTGAAATACAAAGAACATATTGGGCACCACTTGCTGTAATATAAAGCATATTTTGAATAATCTTTTATAAAGTCTGCACATTGAGTGATTGTTGAAATAACGGATACATTTAAATTTTTTTTTTCATTTGAGTGGTGTACCGATCGTTTACCCGTACCTTGTGTTCATTTGAGTGGTGTACCGATCGTTTACCCGTACCTTGTGTTCATTTGAGTGGTGTACCGATCGTTTACCCGTACCTTGTGTTCATTTGAGTGGTGTACCGATCGTTTACCCGTACCTTGTGTTCATTTGAGTGGTGTACCGATCGTTTACCCGTACCTTGTGTTCATTTGAGTGGTGTACCGATCGTTTACCCGTACCTTGTGTTCATTTGAGTGGTGTACCGATCGTTTACCCGTACCTTGTGTTCATTTGAGTGGTGTACCGATCGTTTACCCGTACCTTGTGTTCATTTGAGTGGTGTACCGATCGTTTACCCGTACCTTGTGTTACTTTACTTCATGTTTAGAAGTACAGATGCATATATACGTTGTATTTACTCATATATTTCTGTTTTAAATTTCAACAATAGCTTTAAAATATTTATATATTTATAAATAGATATATTTCTAAGTAATTTAATGGTATAATCTTTACGTCTAATACATAGGTGTTATATTATAAACTTTGATACCTTAGGAAATATTCGTTATGGTTAATTTCAAGACTTTGTTTTGTCTGACAGATTAAAGACTAAGACAAAGAACTTTCGTGTCCGATGATGGTCACTATGGGGGTTAAAATGTTTTGGACACTGGCTCTTTTAGTGTTTAGCTGCATATCACAATCTCAAGGTATCACGTGATCGAGTTATTAGTTATTTACAAAACAGCATGTTGTCATTAAATGAGGAAGTCAGACTTTTTTATTATTTAAGACATGATGTCATCAAATAAGGTGTTCATAATATTTAATTTAAGAAGTGGCGTGCCTTCAAAAACCAACTCATCGTTTTAGCATCAAGAAATTTTACGACAATATCACTCAATGGATATCACACCAATAAAAAAAATAAAATAATTTTGATTGAATATTTGAGTGTTTCCTTTCTAATTAGCTTTAATTATGTTACTTTGAAATATATTTTAAAGGCAAACAACGTAACATTACTGTATTGAATGTTAATGAGGTAAAACTGTATGGGGAAACACAAAGGACGCAATAAATAAACGAACGTGTCGGCAAGAAGCCTTCATGTGAGAAAAAACAATCATGCAAACATAAATTTAAAAAAAACTAAAATTTAATGTAGTATCCGAGAGGACAACAAGAGACGGAAAGAAGATAGTTGGTGAGAGATTAAATGCATGCAACAAGGGAAAAAAGAGAGGAAAATAAGTCCCCTTGGGATTGGTCGTATCAAGGAGGGGCGGAGAAAAGGTTTTACATGTGAATGAGAACATGACATTCAAGCCATGTGATGTGAACGGCCTGTACGTCTGATTGAGTTTGGTCTCCAAGTTCTCTCGGTGTGGCGTGTTGGTACAAGACACAATCGCGGTGACAGCAACATCCCGTAAGCTATTGTTGTCGCTTATGTTGAAGTGTTAAAAATGGGAAACTGCTTTTCTTGCGCAATATTTTTTAGGTGTTCAGTACATCTGCCCGAGAGGCACCGTCCAGTGTCACTTAAATACACAACCCAGAAGTGACTAAAAAAATGTCGCTGACAACATTGCAGTTAGTACAAAGGAAACTGCCCTTAGGGAAGTGAATGTGTTGATTCTGGAAGACAAAAGTGCAAGTGTTGCAATTGCTGAGTCCACGTGACTTCCTTCCAAAGTGGGAGGGGCCAGCCCCTAGTTCTTGCAAATTATTATCCCTTCTGAAAACAAGGAGAGGTAGTGAAGAGAAAAGGTTGTGTGTGTACCGTTTCATTTACATTGGGCATTAGGAGCATTTTTGTTGTTGTATTTTTATTTCATTAAAAATAATTATGATAAAAAAATAACAGGTGAATTCGCCAAAGAAAAGATAACATACCTTAGCCTCAGAGGTGGACAGCGATCCGGGTCAACATACTCAGGTCGTGTTGTCATTCAGATCAACAACGAGGGCGTTGACGGTGCCATCTGTGGGACATGGACCAGAGAAGATGCCATTGTAGCATGCAGGATGTTGGGCTACAAGTCAGTAGACATATTATTATACTTTTTAGTTGTTTTTTAAATAGTTAAGTATGAGACAATGATTGTCAGTTCCAGCTGAATGACTTCAGTAGACATTTATTTCAATGATTGTTACATCAAAATGGATTGAACTGACTGAGCTGCATTTCATTCTTGTATCGAATTACAATCATGTCAAGAAATAAATATTTTTATCGAGCGTTTCTGATGTGATGTAACGATGTCAAATGTTCTTTAACCTAAGGTCTGCTTTTCATAACTAGATACATATTTACAGAAATTTGAAGTGGTTCGTTGAAAGATTATGTAATGTTACATAAAATCCATATCTCGCATATCTCCCATCATCATTAGTTAAAACTAGCTCACGTTACACTTGAGTAATTTGTTTAGTCAATTCTATAAATGACTTTTACACTTTTCATGATATGCTATGTACTCTTATATGTACTTTACATTCTATGTTTTTATACGCTATGTACTTTTATATTCTTTGTTTTTATATGTCATGTACTTTTATACGCTCTTTACTTTTATATCTATGAACTTTTGTTAGCTTTACATGAGCCTGAGCCATGTTCTCTCATCGAAAACCATTAAAAAAACTGTACCTTCATTCAGTCAATCATTCAATCATTCAACAATTCAACAATAATGTCTCAAGGAAATAAAACTTTATTAACATTCGTGACTGAAAAAAAATGTTATGCCATTGAAACATTAAAACTTTTTATTTCAACTATTAATGAATACTCTACTATTTTAATTGCTACTCAATTCCCGAATACTTTAATTATAATTTAACACCTGAATGTTCTTATTATTACTACGTAATACCCGAATATTCTAATTATTACTTAGTATTCGAATCTTCTAATTAATTCCTATTTCATTTAGTGATGGCAACAACATACCATGGAACCCTCTGTTCATGAATGGCAATCATAATTTTCTGATCAGTAATCTGAGATGTTCTGGTCAGGAGACATCGCTCTCAGATTGTCTTAGGGATCCCGTTGTTGACTGCACATACAATGTTAGTTTATTTATAGGATTTCGATGGATTGTACTAGAATAACTTTGTTACCAAACACATCTGGTAAGAGGAATCTCACTAGATTAGCTTTGCTACTAAAAAAAACCTATTTCGTGGGTTCTCACTAGAGTAGCTTTGGTACCAAATCTTCCACAGAAATTAAATTTACAACGAGTAATCATTATGTTTGTTGAAACTGAGGTTTTGGGTTAAAGAATATACGACTATTGATTTTTAATTTACTTTGCATTATTGCACCCACATCTTGTAGTAGTAATGGTTTATTTTGAAATAAATATGAAATATCATTTTTTTTAAACGGACGTTTCATAGTTCAAGTAATGCTTTACCGGCCCAGTATCAGATAACAGGCTTTGAGAGAGTAACACCTTTAAAGGGGAATGTCAAAAAGCATTTTAGTGACGCGACCTTACTTTAAAAACAAAATTAAAGTAAAAGATTGATTTTTCTGTTTGAAGAAAACCCGAGATAAGTTTTATAAAAATCTGAGTTTTTTTTTTTTAAATCTCCAAACTTTCAGACTCACGACGTTATTGCGTCCTGCACTAATCCATCATCCAACCCGGTCGAAACATACATCAATGGATTTGCTGTCCAGGCTAACAGAGTGACTATAGCTCCAGTGTCATTGTCCAGTCGCACTGATTATGCTGATTACACACAATGCCAGCCACGTATGTTTTTCTTCTTCACTTTTTACACTTCTAAAAGACACTTGACAAGGGGTGGGCCTAACCAAAATTGACCAAATATCGGGGAGAGCCAGGTGATTTTTTCCCCATGCATTTAGATGGGTCAATCTTAAACAATGTTTGAACATTTAAGTACAACGCTGTCATTAAGTACAACGCTGTCAAGGAAAAATCAACTGGGGCCCCCAGTCCGGGAAAAATGGATATTATGAGTTCAGTACTCTTCGGAATTTGAATATGGACGATCATGTGTATGTGTAATACGTTTGGTCAAGATATATCCATTTATGGAGAAGTATGAAGCCTATTGATATTTTTATCGCTTAAATAAGGAAAAATGAAATGGGGCCCCCGGCCCCAGAAGAATGGATATTATGAATTAAGTACCCTTCGGTATTTGGATATGGATAATAAAGTATATGTTTACTAACTATGGTCAAGATCAATCTACTCATACAGGAGTATTTGTTTCTAATTATTTTCATATAGCTCATATAAGGAAAAAAACTAATTTGGGGCCACCGGCCCCAAACGGAATGTTATAAAAAATTCATAACCCTTCAAGAGTTCCTTCAGGATCATGATGGATATATGTGCCAAGTTTGGTCAAGATCCATCAATCCATGTAAAAACGTATGTGGAACAAATCCAGCCAGCCAGCCACAAACAAACTTTTATCTGTCTATCTATCTACCTATCTATGAGTTGATTAACTGACCATAATTGTGGTATGTCTAGTCTTACGTTTTAGAGTACTGTTAGGTTTCTTAAACATGAATGTAGGCTTTATTTAAACCAAGAGAGAGACTCGATATAGTTATAGTTGGGAGTTTCTATCTAGCTTAAAAAAAGTATGCGTGATTCATTAGCTTAAAGCCTGATTGGGGTAAACATGTTTTAGATCTACAGCTTTTAGACATTCTAGAGGTAAAATTCTATAAATAGCTTACAATATAAAGATATGTTATTTCTCTCTTTTATTTTTAAAAATAGCAAATCCAAACATAAGACTCCACGGTATTAGAGACAGACCAGGTATGGGCTATGTCCAGGTACATGTCAATGGTGTCTGGCAGTACATTTGTGATGACAAGTGGAGCGAGAACGATGCTAAAGTAGTCTGCAGGGAGCTTTGCTACAAGTAATTAGAGCATAATTTTATTATTTGTAAGATACAAGATACATATCCTATTAATAATTCTATTTAAAAGCTAATACCAAAAGTGGGCTTAATGTAACATAGCAAGTTAGGAGACTCGTTTTAGTATTTCTAAAAGTTATAATTGGGTTGAGAAAGCTATGCATATCTAATTTAAAATGACTGAATATTGGGATATTATTATTCTTATTTAAGTAAGATTAGCTATCAGAGGCGCCGTCTTCGGCAATTATAATAATATAATCAAACAGCTTATTTCTTCATTTAGCATAATTTAATAGTAATGTTTTATGATTTGTATACAGTTTGGCAAATTTACTTTTCATTCGCCACAACTTTGGCTGTTTTTGTAAAACGTTGCACCTCTTAATATAGGAATGATTGTGTTACGCACTTCCTTCTGTTTTGAGAAACAAATATCTAATTTTAATTGGCTTGTTCAAAACAGTGCCTAACAAAGGACGATACCACAGAGAAATACAATAGCAAAACACGACACTCAAAACGGTACCAATCACAATTAATAAGATTTACGTATTGATATAATTACAAAACAAAAGAAATATAATTACAATCATCAACTTACAGAGTAGGGTAGATCTTGTACCGGTACACACTTAGTACAATGTGCCAATTAATAATGTATAATGATGAATGCGAATAAACACATATGAGTACACACAGATAATACACTTGTCTCGTAAAGTTAAAAATATCTCTTTATCAATCTCCGAATCTCCTTTTATATCTATGCGCCGGTAGAACCAACGCGTCTAGAAATATCTTCTCCATTGTTTATCTTTCTAGTCAATTATCGAAATTTACCCAAAATTATATTAGAATATATTAGTTATTTTTAGTGGTGTCGGCAGTAAACAAGCTAAGATGAAAGAAAATAGGCCACGCCCAATATGAACGCAGTGTCTGCTATTTACAGTCATTTTTTTTTTGGCCCGAGCTATTCCTCTTTAACGACCAGACAAGTATGTACATGCCTGCCTCATCTGCTAGGCTGTCTCGTAAATCAGTCTCTCAGCAGGGTTGGCTGGGAGCACCCCGGCCACACCAGTCGTTAACGCTGAGCACTCGGCTAGTATGGGGTCCCGCAGTGTGTGCAAACTGATTAGGTAGCTATGGGTAGGGCAGTGCTCTGTCCTCATCTGCGTGATGAGGCTCTGCTGGTGGCGTTTAAGACACCACCACTGATCACACTTGAGGTTAGTATTGGGTATGTTCCGGTAAAGAATTCGGGCTGTAGATCCCTTTTCCCATCTTTAGTCCATTCCTCATGGAAGAGGTCCTTAAACCAGGAATTGTCCTGGGATCCAATGAAGGGTCACTTTGCCTCCATGAGACTGTTTTAGAATTATAATGCATGCCCAGATGAACGCAATATAATTGTTGGCATTTTGTAACACTTTCCATATTTATCTATCATTAAAAATTTAACCAAACTTTTTACTCGCTTCTCTACTATGTCATTGGAAAATAGCAAAACAGAGTATTCTATTAAATAAAGAAGAATCTTTTAACCCATTTTCCCTTCTGTAAAGGCCTTGGGTGTTTTTCATATTTGTTAAAGACAATCTCAACCAATCTTTGTTCACGGCCATCAACCGCGGATTGAAAAGATATGGCTCTATTTTTAAGATTAACTTTTCACGAGTGTCATAAAAATCTAAAAATTGTTGTGGTGTATTTACAATTTAAAGAGCAATCAGTATAACTATTAAATTTATTTTTAAAAAGAGAAAAAAAATTATTATCAGATTTGTCACACGCAGTTTTTTAACTCAAAGAACTTAATAGCTTGTAATTTGCGTGTTTACTAAGTTTTCTTTCTTTGAGTTTAATCAAACATTTTAATATGATATGGTTTGAAGAAATTTGGATAACATAAATTCAAATTTATTTTGGCAATATTAACTACGCACTAAAAAAAAGTACCAGATCTTTAGGTTTTCCCCGATAAATGTAGTTTTGAAAGAATAATATTAATACGTGGACGATAAGCTATTGAATATCTTAAAACGTTCAATTTAAGATAAAATACTTAAAAGAGTTCTCGAATTGTCTTATCACAATTATAAATAAGTCATTTACCGGAAGGTCGACCCTACTTAAGCAACCACACATTTTTGCAGGTCCCTAAACATAATTAAAATTCTAAAGTCCCAGATCTCTTTTACCATAGGCCTACATTGGATCCCTGGACAAGTCCTGGATTAAGGCATCTTTCCGTCTGCGGGAGACGATAGATTATCTTTTTCTGCTTGCAGCTCTTGGTGTGGCTGGTGAGACCAATCCTCGAATGGCGGTCTCTGTTACATTGCCCACACACGAATGTGGTGGAACAGTATTTAACGGCCTTCCTCCTCACTGTTTTTGCAGCTGTTTCCGCCCTGTTTTGATCCTCGGCATGTAGTGATCCTGCCTTCACGATGCCCCGCCATGAGGATCGATCCTCTGCCAGCTCCTCCCAGTTTGAGATGTCGATGTTGGCCGACTTCATGTCTCTTTTGCATATGTCTAAGTATCTCAGACGAGGCCGTCCAACTGACCTTTTCCCTGTCGCCAGCTTGCTTTATAGCACGTCCTTTGGTATGCAACCAGGTTGCATTCGCTTCACGTGTCCAAGCCAGTGGAGGCGTCTTTAGATTAACATGGCTGGGTAGCTACACATGTTTGTTTGGGACAGGACATCCGTGTTGGGGACTTTGTCTTGCCATTTAATTCAAGGATGTGGTGCAGGCATCTCAGGTGGAAGCCATTGAGCCTTCTTTCGTGGTTAGAGTATGTGGTCCACGACTCGCATCCATACAGGAGTGTGCTCAGTACGCAGGCCTGGTACACCTGCAGCTTAGTTCTTGTTGTGAAACATAGTAGCCAGAATGATCAATTCATTGATCGTGGGCCCTTAAAATAAAGAAGAAAGAAGAAGAAGAAGTGAGTTTGGCGTTTGACCAGACTCTTTTCTTCAGTCTGGCCATAACAGTTGCGGCCTTCCCTATCCTTCCACTTATCTCATCCTCCATTGAGAGGGTGCTCGATATGTTGGATCCCAGATATGTGAATCTGTCAACAGTACCCACGTCGTAGTCGTCGATGGCAATAGCGGGGAGGGAGTCAGCGCCCTGTGCCATAACGTTAGCTTTCTTTAGGCTAATTGCCAGGCCAAACTCTTTGCAGGCAGCGGATAGGCTGGATACGAGGCTCTGTAGGCCGTCAGCTGTGTGAGACACCAAAGCGACATTGTCCGCAAACAAGAACTCTCGCAGCAAGACCTTTCTTGTTTTAGTCTTAGCTCTAAGGCAGGCAATGTTGAATACTTTGCCGTCAGCTCTAGTGCGGATGTATATCTCCTCGCTGTTGTTCTGAAAGGTATACTGGAGTAGGATGTAGAAAAAGATTGAAAATAAAGTAGGAGCCAGCACGAAATCTTGCTTTACTCCACTACCCACTGGAAAAGCTTCTGAGGCGGCACTGTTATAGCACACTGTGCCCTGCATGTTTTCGTGGAACTGATTGATGATGTTAAGCAGTCTTGTAGGACAGCCTATCTTTTTGAGGATCTGAAACAGGCCGCTTCTGCTGACAAGATCAAAAGCCTTAGTGAGGTCGACAAACGCAGTGTATAAAGGCATATGTTGCTCCCTGCCCTTCTCGTGCAGCTGGCGCAGAGAGAAGATCATGTCTATGTTTGTTCTACCGGCGCGAAAACCACATTGCGATTCTGGGAGTACACGCAATGCTAGGGTCTGTAGGCGGGTTAATGCAACTCGGGCGAGAGCCTTTCCAACTATGCTGAGGAGGGAGATTCCAAGATAGTTGCCTTGGACGATATCACAGACTTACCAGTCATGGAGGAGCTTGATACCCTACCCATGATAGAAAAAGCTATGTGCCGCCTCAGAAGCTATCTTACACATAACACTCAAAACAATGGTCCCATGTAATGACCAAAGCTATCTTACACATAACACTCAACACAATGGTCCCATGTAATGACCAAAGCTATCTTACACATAACACCTAACACAATGGTCTCATGTAATTACCAAAGCTATCTTACACATAACACTCAACACAAAGGTCCCATGTAATGACCAAAGCTATCTTACGCACAGGCAAGACGTTCATTTATGTGCACGAATAAAAACTTACATTAAACTTTCATGAACCATTTAGCCGCAGCACAAAATGATTTTTAAAGCTGAAATGTAAAACTCATGTAAGGAGCTACAAATACAAACATTGATCTCTGGGTTCAGTCATTTCCCATGGCCCGAAATGCGTTTCTCTCTCCCTTCACAATCTCACAAACACGTCTTTTAAGAAACATTTCATTTTCAAAGCTTTCATAATTATCAAAATCTTACCACTTACAAACACAAATCCATTTACTATACTAAGGATTATATTTTGTTGCAAATAATTGTATAAATGGCTTGGGTAAATAATTAAAATTGGACCTTAAATAGTTGGTTTGTAATACTTCAATTAATCTATACAAGCAACATTTTTTTAATTCCATAGTGAACCAAACGGTGCTCGTCCTGGAATAGAAAATGAGTACAGTCCCATGCTTGTTGAAACGCCCACATTTGCATGGAACAGGGTCCAGTGCGCAGGAGATGAGAACACCTTAAATAATTGCCCACGGAACAACACCACACCACAAGGACAATGTGGTCGACATGAGCTGGCTGGGGTACAATGTGTTGTGCCACCTGAGACTTCTACTGGTAACTTAAGACCTAATTTTTATTACAGCTTTTAGTGAGTGTCTGTGTAGTGGCGTAAGACAGAGGTGGTGGTCCGTAAGACAGGGGCTGTGGTCCGTAAGACAGGGGCTGTGGTCCGTAAGACAGGGGCTGTGGTCCGTAAGACAGGGGCTGTGGTCTGTAAGACAGGGGCTGTGGTCTGTAAGACAGGGGATGTGGTCCGTAAGACAGGGGCTGTGGTCCGTAAGACAGGGGCTGTGGTCCGTAAGACAGGGGAGGTGGTCCACCCCAGGTGGAATTTTTTTTAAGAATGCTAAGTGGAAAAAAACAACATTTCCTTAAATTTGTTGAACTTGAAAACGGCTTAGCCAGGCAATAGTGACATGGACGTCTCAAATAAAATAGGTGGTTTTGTTATCCGATTCTGACCTCACCGCACTTTAACGCGATACAGCTAAACTCAGTTTGTGTGTTGCTTTTTATTGACACAGCTATGGAAGCTCAGATAGAATGTTCTAGCTTAAACGGAGACATCGTCCTCCACTTCACTCACGATAACTTCCCTAACCTAAACGACAACAGTATCAGCGTCGCCAACACCCCCGCAGGCTGCACCACACGAGCTCAGAGAGTGCAGTCCACTGGGCCGGACAATGGGAATTACAACCTGAGAATCCCTGCACAAGGTTGTGGTACAGCCAAGACTGTGAGTGTTTGGTTTTACTTGGTGATCTTTCGTTTAGGCATTTCTTACACTGAAAGAATGAACAACAAGAACAAAGGCAAAACCGTTTGAGCTGACTGTGTTATTAAATTGTATAGCTCACTTTGTGGTAAAACTTATGCTCATTTCACACGATTATATTTTCATCAAATTTGTTTCAAATTTCTGTTAGAACGCACTCTTTTGTGTTACAACATAGAGCGTTCAAAAAGAAATTTGAGGCAAATTTGACGATAATGTATCGACAATTTGATCGTGTGAACTTGGCAGTATGATCGATTCACATATTTTATTATTAAATGATATCATTTTACAATGCTGTACACTCTAAACTGCTTTGACAAATGGGCGCTTAATATGTTTGATTAAAAAGAAACTTGAAAAATAAAGGAATCTAATTTGAATGTTAACCAATGTGCTATCTACAGGACAATGGTACACACATCTGCTACAGTAACACAGTGGAGTATGACAATGAAGTTTATACAGGCAACGTTCTGATAGACTACCAGAAGAAAACGTAAGTCTTGTATTGGCTTACATAGGCCTTTAATGAAACATCTTTTACTTATGATCTAACACTGAACTTTGCATTAAATATTTTTGTATATCTGGTGTGGGCAGCCTAGAAAGGTAACCGCTAATGGGGGAAAAGGTGAGGGGGGGGGAGGGTTGGGTTTAAAAGGTTTAAAAAATAATATTAAAAAAAAAAGAAACACAGTTCTATTTTCCAAAACACGGCACTTTGCAGTAGCCAGGTAACTAACCAGATAGGTAACCAGCTAAGTAACCAGCTAAGTAACCAGCTCAGTATCCAGATAAGTAACAGGCTTAGTAACCAGCTTTGGAACCAGTTAAGTAAAAAGCCAAGTAACTAGCTAAGTAACCAGGTAGATAACCAGGTAGGTAACTAGCTAAGTAATTAGCTAAGTAACTAGCTAAGTAACCAGCTTAGTAATCAGCTAAGTTACAAGCTAGGTAACTAGCCAGTTAAACAGCTAAGTAACCAGCTAAGAAACCAGCTAAGCAACCACCTAAGTAACCAGCTAGATAACCTGCTAGGTAAACAGCTAAGTAACCATTTGGTTAACCAGCTAAATAACCAGGTAATTAAACAGCAAAGTAAGCAGCAAATTAATCAGCTAAGTAAACAGCTAAATAACCAGCTAAATAACCAGCTAAGTAACAAGCTAAGGAACCAGCTAAGTAACTAGCTAATTAACCAGCTAAATAACCAGCTAAGTAACTAGCTAATTAACCAGCTAAATAACCAGCTAAGTAACAAGCTAAGGAACCAGCTAAGTAACTAGCTAATTAACCAGCTAAATAATCAGCTAAGTAACTAGCTAATTAACCAGCTAAATAACCAGCTAAGTAACTAGCTAATTAACCAGCTAAATAACCAGCTAAGTAACAAGCTAAGGAACCAGCTAAGTAACTAGCTAATTAACCAGCTAAATAACCAGCTAAGTAACTAGCTAATTAACCAGCTAAATAACCAGCTAAGTAACAAGCTAAGGAACCAGCTAAGTAACCAGCTAAGTAAAAGCCGTTGTACTAAATAAGAAACGAAACAATAAAAGTAACCAGAAAAATATTTAAAAAATTTAATTCAAATATCAGTTACACCAAAACTCTAAAGAATAATAGACAATTATTGCAATCAAGTATTATTATAATCTACTTTTTTGTAATCGAATATTATATTGATTTTTTGCAGTGGAACTAAAGGAACTTCTTTTACAATGACATTTTTATTATCCTGGGTCTCCATTAATGAGGTTGTCTTCATGATTTTTGTTCTTTTTTTCCCCGATACAACATATAACAATAACAATAAAAGAATTACAATTTTTTTTTCACTGCAAAAAATCCATAAGATCAATATGGGTGTTTTCAACATTTTCATTTATACACAAATGCCACGTCACTACCTTAAGTCCTGTTAATGACAGTTTCATACATTATTCTGTGTGCAAAATTCATAACGACCGAATTGTCAAACTATAAAATAACCAAACTTTTATTCTTCCCATCTAAGCTTCTCAGTAAGCTGCTGTATGGCAACTGACAAGGACGTCAGCATTCATTTCATCCCCCGGTCCCAGGAGAACGCCCGAAATATCGGTCAAAACTTTGACTACACGGTAAACTTTCAAAAGACGTCTTCATTAAAACAAGTTTGAATTTCCTAAAAGATTGTTCAATTAGATAACTATATGTTGTAATGTGTTTATTCGATTAAATTTTAAAAATTACTTATTTCTTTGGTTAACATTCATACATCTTATAAGTTGATTCTTTACGACAGACTTCTTGAAAGTAAACGATGTAAGCTGTACATTCATTAATATTAATTTAACACTTAAGATTTAAAATATGTCTGTAATGGTAGCTAATTTCTATAATAGATAAGTCATACTGTTAGATTTGGTGTCTCCTTAATTGTTTTGTCCAAGATAGAGGGCCGGCCTCAATATTTTGTGACAGACATCTTAAGGTAGTACTACAACTTTGCAGACATCCTAACGTAAGATAAGATAAGATGCTTTTATTGATCCAAACAAAAAGAAATGTTTTATGATTGCATTATAGATTTTAAGGACATTAATAAAACAATTTGAACACAAGAAATTTATAATAAATAATTTCACAGCCATTCTGTGAGTTATTATTTTTCATTAAGATGTGTGACTTCAGGAGGAGCACGCCGGAAATTCGTATAGATTGGGGAACAAAATAATTTTTATATCTATCAGTCCTAGCCCTGATGGAAAGAATTCGTCCCGAACGGCCTGATCCTAAGTATTTGTGATGAAGAGGGTGGGATGTATCATCCAAAATGTATTTAGTTTTACAATAAAATCTTTCTTATAATATTTCTTTAAGTGAAGGATATTTAGTTGTGTTATGTTCCTAGCTTTCTTGATTAGTCGGTTTATTCAGTGTTTAATATCAGACGTTGAATTCCCACACCAGCAGGTAATACTGAAATTAAGTAGGCTTCCAATAGTTGCACTGTAGTATAAGTTAAAGACTTGTTTGTACACGCCGAAATTTTTTTCTGTTTTTTTTTAGGTACAGTCTTTCGCGGAATTTCCTAGACAGCTTTTTGCCGTGCTCATGCCATGTTAGCTTATTATGAATGGTGACACCTAAGTACTTATATGCCTCTTCTTTCTCTACACTTTGATTTGTTATGTTGAGATCTGTAATCTGGTGTGTCCCCCTCCTGAAATAAATTACCATTTCCTTTGTTTTTTTTTGGAGATATTCAACTGGAGAAAACTTTCATGGCACCAATTGATAAAGCTTGTAACTAAGTTGCGGTATGGGCCTTCTCCTTAAGATATTAAGCCAACAATGGTGGTATCATCAGCAAATTTTAAGATTGGAATGGTGTCGCTTGGGCTTGGAATATCATTGTTATATATTTATACAGTACAGGGGAGAGAACGCATCCTTGTGGTGCCCGGTGCTTATTTCTCTACTTAGAGATACTTGGTTATTTACTTTGACACAATGTGGTCGATTTGTTAAAATGTTCAGTATCCAAGCCTGAATATTTAAATTGACACCTAACGAGGAAAGTTTCTTTAACATAAGGTGTGGTTGGATAGTGTTAAATGCTGATGAGAAGTCTAAGAAAAGAACTGTGGTATATGTTTTAGGACTGTCTTGGTGATGGTAAAGTCTCTCCAACAAGAGTAAGATTGCATCCTTTGTACTTCTGGCAGGTTTGTAAGCAAATAGTTGGGGGTCACGTTTTTGCTGTACTTCATTCAAAATTTATCTCAGAATAATTTTCTCAAAACATTTCATTACATCAGAGGTAAGTGTAACAGGCCGTAGGTCGTTGTTGCACGTTACCTTATTTTTCTTTGCAGACATCGTAAGGTAGTACCTATGTCTTGGCAGACATTTTAAGGTAGTACTTATACCTACCGTTATAATGTGTAGAGAATTAATTTAAGCTCTTATTTTACTCATTGACTCGTGACAAACAGTACATAGCAAAGTACGATACCATTAATTAAATCAAGTAATAAATTACGATACCGAAACAAGGGCTAATCACAAATATTACTTTATAAAGTTAACTTTACGATAAAAAATCAAATAATATAATATAAAACTAAGGCTATTCACGTACAGCATAGAAATGAACTGGTACCTGTACGATGTTGGGAAGGTGTACACATATGATAATTAGATGATAAAATATACTGTCAGTAGTGTATGTCAGTCCATTAGTCTCGCTCAAGAGTCGTATCGTATTCGCAGTAGCGTAGCTTGGGCTGGTGTCACCCGACGCGGTAAACTCATAGTGTCACCCCTTCCCCACCCCCAAGACTTTCACAGCAGATTTATTCTTGCAAAAATAAGTCCACAGTATAACAATGCTAAGAGCAAAAACAAATAAATTAAAAGAAAATGTATTTAGGGACTGTAGCAACGTTAAGTTAGAGTTATTTTTACAAACATGTACTTGACAATATTCATTTTCTGGACTTCAAAGCTGCAGCCCGACAATCAATATCCTTAAAATCAATATCCTTCCTCATATCAATTTCAATTGATTAGTAGAGCTAGGTCAGAAAGCCTTGAATGTCTAATGGTTGATCGTAAAATTAAATAGTACTTGATGAGCATTAGTTTCGAAAGGCTCTGCTCACATTAAGCCAGAGACACACACATCGTAAGAAAAAGTTAAAGGCTTGGCGTCAATTTTGAAAGAGATTTTAGAAAGTCTCTTTCAGCTATGACTTTCAAAATATCAAATACTGACCAGTCCATGACTTTTTGAATTTTATTATCAGCTGCCTTTATATGTCTTTTAAGACTTGGTATTTATTTTTAAAAGTCCATCATAGAAAGAGATTAATTTAGGAATGGACACCATTAACTCTTCTTCACATGCTGATAGCAGATTCTCAGACTGAACAGCCCCAAACATATCTGCAACTTTCATTATCGCTGATGATCAGATCTGGGATATAGAATGAAAGCGATTAAGACACTCTAGCATCCCCCTACTGTTTTCTACGCGAAGAGAGAGTCCAGCATCTATTAACTGTTCTCCCGCCATTCTCTTCTTAAACCTTAATCTTCTCGCTACCAAAATGTCATATTGGTCTGACTTTAAAAGTGCATAAAAAGACCTTGTGCTGTACCTGTTGTACCATCACAGACAGCATGTAAAAGACCTTGTGCTGTACCTGTTGTACCATCACAGACAGCATGTAAAAGACCTTGTACTGTACCTGTTGTACCATCACAGACAGCATGTAAAAGACCTTGTGCTGTACCTGTTGTACCATTACAGACTGCATGTAAAAGACCTTGTAATGTACCTGTTGTACCATCGCAGACAGCATAAAAAAGACCGTGTACTGTACCTGTTGTACCATCACAGACAGCATAAAAAGACCTTGTACTTTACCTGTAGTACCATCACAGACAGCATAAAAAAGACCTTGTACTTTACCTGTGGTACGATCACAGACAGCATAAAAAAAGACCTTGTACTTTACCTGTTTCATCCCAATTTTCAAGAGGATCACATAGCGCTTCAATCGGCGACACACATTCATCAAACACATCCATTAAAAATCGCTTACTTGTTGTTTCTTTTCAGAATATCCTAAACACCTACATTGACTCCAGACATTGTAGCAGCTTTCTTTTAAACTTGAGCTCTGCACATCATTATATCTAATACATCACATTTTAGATTTGTAAGAACTGAGGTCATCAATTTTTTTCCCTTCCAAGCGGAGAAAATCCAAAAAAACACTTCTCTCACTTCAACATTCCCATTTTGAAATTTGACATGTATGATCACTTCATACATCTGGTCATTGTGTGATATATCAGGTGTACATTCGAACATAATTCCAAAATACCTCGCAGCCTTTATATCCATGATAAGAATAACCTTCCCGTGTTTTGCAAGGACATTTATAAATTCAATTGTGGGTTTCTGGTAAAAGGTAAGATGTGGATGCTTTTAATTCTGTTTGTTCTCTTATTTGTTCGTTGACGAAGCCGTCCTGTCGACACGTTCGTTGTTTTCTTGCGTTTCTTTCTCAGTGATTTATATGATTTGTTTTACTCATTTCTTGATTTGGTTCTCTTGTAGCACTGGGTCCTGTTTAGATGGCATCTCAACCATTTCAATAACGTTTCCTTTATTCAGTGAAGATTCCTCTTCGCTGGGGCCACGAAATGCCAGATTTTTGCTTTGCAAGAAATAATGTGATGTCCAGAGACCTGTGCAGGATGTCCCTCCACTTTTTCTTCTCCAAGTTCATCACAGCAATACTTTCGGAATCATTTTTGCGTGTGTATCGTAGGTCCTGCTTCCAATGCCTTCCACTTTTCACGGCTAAACAGATGCTCTTTTAATATTTCAGAATTTTGTAATTTTGGTCTCAGTTGCCACCACTTATCAAAGCCAGCAAGTAACAAATGCGGATGTTGTTTCTTTAACATTAACACCAAATAATATGCAGCAAAAATGTACAATGTGTGACTGGCGAGTCCATAAACCATCCACGACCGCAGTATTTTCTCGCCGTTTGGCATCGTCGTGTAGAACAATTGTTTTGTTAGCTGGCTCACACCTCCTTTAGATTTCGAATTTTGCCTTGTCACTATGCTGAATAGTCCGTCCTTGTTCTGAAACGAGGTACTTCATATTTTAATAATTTCAGTCCGAAAATGATCTTGAACTGATACAAGCCAGAGAGAAGCAGTTGATAAAATGTGCACGTTTTTTGTCATTAACCATTACATTTACGGAATCTTGGTTTGAATCAACATTATCAGCAGACATTTCTGTTTATAAGACATCCATTTCTTTTACTTGTATGTTCACAGCAATGTTTTTCATTTTCTCCACTATTTGTTGTATTGAATGCATGCTGCTGTTATCGGGGGGAATCAGTATCATTGGTACGCTGAGGATCTACCGTTGATGAACCCTGACTCTGGTCATCATTTGGCTTCTTGACAAATCAAAGCGTAGATCCTGGTGGTGATTTTAGTGAGTCACATCTATTCTTTTTCGCTTTTCGCTCCTGGCAGCCACTTGGCTGTTTAAATTTGTGCCCACCGATTTGCATTACATAATAATCTTGAACAATAAAAATGCTTTAATATTGGCGTTTTCAAGAAAACAAACAGAATAAATACGTGCTACAGTTAAAAAACAAGTCAGAGCACTCTTTAAAATACAACGCAAATGTGGCAGGTAAGACACAACAGTCGAAATATGACATTTGAGCACGTTTGTGATGAATCGGATAAAACATTAATTTTTGGGTATTTCTAGGTTTTGATGCATAAATTATACATGTCTTCATGAAAAAAAAAAAAATTGAAATAAGAATTAATAATTAAAAGATTGAAAATTGTGTAAAATAATATATTTGTAACCCTACAAATGGGTAAAAAATAATTTTTAATGTTTTTAATTTTTACTGTTTCGATTCTTGTACTTTGAATCGCCCGACCACTTCGTATTGGGTATCAATGGAAAGCCTTACTCTCAGAATTTAGATAAATATAGCTTCCTGTCAATTACGGAAGTTACCCCCAATCGGCGTTGAATAATGACTGTTTTTTTATGATATAATCATAGGGTTAACTGATTTCTGACGCATCAACAGTGAACGTTTAATAAAGCAAGCATTTGGATTGGTTACAATTGGGAAAAAGTGTATGTGTGATTAATTATTCTTTTGTGAATCTCGGTTAGACCGAGCAGATCTGTAAATAAGCAATTTTTCCATTGGGTGTCACTGCTAAAATGGCGTCACTCGGTGCAGTCCGCATCCCCGGACCCCCCTAGCTACGCCACTGCAAAATCGTGATCTCTGTCTCTTTCTCTCTTTGTCTCGCAGTCTCCCCAGTTTCCTCCAACGATAAACTTATTTATAGTCCTTCATAGAGACTTTCAAGAAAGGGTTACGCCTTGTATCTGTACCAAGGGTCGTCTCATAATTTCAACACAATTTGACTATTGTCTGTGTTTACATGTAGTCAAGGTCAAGAAAGACCTTTAATAATTTTGCAAACCTTGGGGTCACCCAGATTTCGAGCACGAGATTTACAAGAAACCTGACGGAAACACTATGCAAACAAGGCAAGTTTTTACCTTAACATTTCCTTCTGTCATTTTCTCCACAGCCTGAGATCAGCTTCTACCAAAACGAGAGATACGATGCTAAAATCACCGACAACCCTTACGCTGTGGAGGTCGGCGATTGGGTGTACATAGTTATCAGTGTCAAGGCCGAGGACCAGTCATTCTTCAGAGACAGTGATCTGAAGCTGGTTGTCACACGTTGTACCGCCAACCCCATCCGAAGCGTGATTGACGGGATTAACACCCCCTTGAACGTGACACTGATTGACAACACGTACGTAGCTGTAGAATACATTAAATAAATGATGAAGATTTTGAGCCGATTCATACACACTAATTGGTAAAGAAATAAAATTCTTTACCATTTCAATTTAACGTAAAGAGCAATTAATATAAACTTCTCTACACAGTTAACAATCCAGAAGAGGTTAATCTGTGTTGCTATCCATTAATGTCTGTTACAGGGGAAAAGTATCTCCAAAAAGATTTTTTAACCAGCCAAAAAGTTTCACAAAAATAAAGAACATTTCAACTACCAACTTTGTTACGTTAACACTCATCTGTCCTGTTGAGAAACGATGCGTGGTCCCTAAACGGAAGTTAAGACTATCATTCCTTTGCTACCAAAAGTAACTTTTCTTAAACATAGTTTTACATCTTGTTGATTGAGAATTGAAATAATTTTAATACTTTATTATTTCTCTCACCCCTGAAAAAGAAGTAAAAAAAAAAAACAACAAGAAAAAAAAAACTTCAGAAACCATTTATCTTCTTCTTCTTCTTCTATATCTTAAGGGCCCACGATCAATTTATTGATCATTTTGGCTCCTATGCATGTAGATGGGATTTGCAATGTTTCTGTTACTGGTGGTGATGAGGAAATTATGCACTAGGGGTTTGAAGGCTTGAGGCAATAGACACAAATGTGTCTAGTGTTGTCGCCTCAACTGTTCCTTTTGAAAGATGGTTCCAGTCCCTGATTGTCTTGGGCAGGAATGAGCAGCTCCTATACTGGCTTCTTGCTGGTATGAGCCTGAATTGCCTGTCATGGCCTCGTCGCTGTCTATGGGGGAGAGGGACGAGTTTCTGTTTAATACTGGAACAGTGGACCAGCCCATTATTTATCTTGTACATCATGGAGAGCCTGGATTGTCGTCGTCGTTTCTCCAATGGTGACCAGCCTAGTGTTTCTAGCATGCTGCCAACACTAGAGGTATTCCTGTAGCGGTTTAGGACAAAGCGTGCTGCTCGTCGCTGGACCGCCTCCAACCTGTCAATGCTCTTCTGGGTAAATGGGTCCCAGACTGAAGATGCATAATCTAAAATCGGACGGATAAAGGCTTTATATGCTCTTTCTTTCACACAGGAGTTGCCAATCTTTAGATTTCGCCTTAAGAACCCCAAGGCTTGGTTTGCTTGGTTACATACATTGTTAATATGCTCGTCCCAGCGGACCTCTCTTTGAATGGTAACACCCAGGTACTTTACGGAGGAAACTTGCTCAAGAATATGGCCGTGCAGTTTGTATTGGTAGTGTAGAGGAGTACAACTTCTAGAGATTGATAGTGTCTGGCACTTGGCAGGGTGAAATTCCATGTCCCAGCTCATCTCCCACTCAGCTAACAGATTGAGATCCTGTTGTAGCTGGTCCTGGTCAGATCTGTTGGCGATCGTCCTATACACTGCTGTGTCATCTGCAAACAGTCTTGCCTGTGATGTCAGTTTCTCCGGTAGGTCATTAATGTATGCTAGGAACAAACAGGGGCCCAGGACTGATCCCTGGGGGACCCCTGACTTCACATTGACAAAGGAGGAGCTTGTACCGCCCACCACTACTGCTTGGCGTCGGTGGCTGAGGAAGCTAGAGATCCATGTTTTAGTGGTGCCTTGAATCCCATATATCTGGAGTTTGTGTAGAAGCAAACTATGATTCACCCGGTCAAATGCTTTTGCGAAGTCCATTACTAGCACGTCAGTCTGCTTGTGGTTCTCCAGATTGGTCATCAAGTCTTCTACAAATTCGAGAAGCTGGGTCTCACATGACCTATTGACTCGGAAGCCATGTTGACAGTCATTGAGTATATTTTTGCTTTCAAGATGCTTCATGACAGAGCTTACGATTATGTGCTCCAACAATTTGCAGACGACGCTAGTGAGGGATATCGGACGATAGTTGGCAGGGTCGGAATGCTCCCCTTTCTTGTAAATTGGAGTGACATGCGCTGTTCTCCAGTCTGCTGGAACATTTCCTGTGCATAGTGACGATTGGAAGAGGATTGTCAGTGCAGGAGCGATTTCTTTGGCTAATTCTTTGAGCACTCGTGGTTTAATGTGGTCAGGACCACATGCTTTGTAAGGATTAATGGTATTGAGGAGGGCAAACACACCTTGTTCTGATATCTGGATATCTCCCATGATAGGATAGGCTCTGTTCATCATTTTGGTCTTCAGAAGGAACTCAGTCTCAGAGTACTCTCTACCGTCACCAAAGACCGACTGGAACTGCTGATTGAGTATCTCCGCCTGTGCTTTTGGGTCAGATGTCAATTGGCCATCCCACCTCAAGGGGGAAACTCCAGCGTTTGAGGACTTTTGGTGTTTCACATAGCTCCAGAAGCGCTTGTTCTTGACATCTTTGGTCGGGGTGTCTTCCTCTGAGAAGATGCCGTTCATGTAGTTCCAATACGATCTACGCAATAACCGTTGAATGGTTCGGCGGAGTCTCAGTACCTCCTCTCTCAGTTCCATCGAGCCATTTTTCTTCATGCGTTTGTATTGGCGGTCTCTCCTGTGGATGAGCCTACGGATTTCAGCCGTGACCCATGGCTGATTTATCCTAGGTTTGGTGATTTGGTGTGGTATAAATTTCTTCACTGCATCAGTGATTGTAGTCTTGAACTTCACCCACAGCTCGTCTGTTGTCGCTGTACCTTGAATCACCTTCATGTTTGAGCTTAGCTCTGTGGTTGCAATCCTTAGGCCATCCCAGTCTGCCTTGGCATAAATTGGGATTTCTCGAATGATTTGTTTCATTTTTAGTGTGTTGACCTGAAATTCACAATAAGGAATGTTGTGGTCCGAAATCCCGGGGATGACCTCAACTTTTTGGACACGATGTGGACAATTGGTGAGGAGTAGGTCAAGAGTGTTTTCCCCCCTCGTGGGTTCTTTAACCAGCTGTTCCAGACCATGGTTGTTAATTATCTCCATGAATTCTGAGTGTAGAACAGGGTATGGGGACTTGGGCTTCAAGGCAGGAATCTGCCAATTCCAACCAGGAAAGTTAAAATCCCCCCCCCCCCTATAAGGAGAAAAGCGTTTTTTGACTGTGTTGCTCTGTGAAGCGATACCTCGAACCTCCTCAGGCTTGGTTTATCTGCTGTGTTTGGTCAGTAATAGGCACAAACGTAAAGTGTGCGTCTACCCTTTAGTTTCAATTTTATCTGCGTAGCTCTGTGGCTGTGTATTTGTGTAGCTGTGTGGCGGTGTAGCGGTGTAGCTGCGTAGCTGTATGGCTGAAAAATGTATAGCTTTGTGGCCGTGTGGCCGTGTGGGTGTGTGGCCGTGTGGCTTTGTGGCTGTATGGCCATGTGGCTGTGTGACCATGTGTTTGTGTGGCTGTGTGGCCATGTGGCTGTTTGGCCATGTTGCCATGTGGCCGTGTGGCCGTGTTGCTGTGTGGCCGTGTTGCTATGTGGCTGTGTGGCTCTGTGGCCGTGTGGATGTAGCTGTGTAACCATGTAGGATCAGTGATAAATAATTCATTCCGACCATTCAACTATCACGTAATATTGGTAGATCACTTCCCTTTATTAGCACCAGTTCCACAAGAACAAACATTGTTGCTCCCTTAGACTGAGTTACAAAATTCACATTTCTGATAACTGAACTTATCTTCATTTTAATTTCAATTATCACGCTTGGTGTTCTTTGACCTCTTCTAAAAATATTCAATCATATTGATCTGAAATCATTGTCAGTACCAGTTTCCAAGCTAGGTATATTGTTGTTGTAAGATGTATAGTTGTCAGCATTTTAATACTATTGTGAGAAGTATAGTTAGCACCATTTCACTATTGCTGTTTAACCTTTGTTTTTGACCACCGACTTTAGGTGTCCATCTGACCTGGCCAGTGTCACCACCTACCCCATCAGCGACACCACTGAAGGTTTTCGATTCAGAGCTTTCAAATTCTTCGGTTACTCCTCTGTCTACGTCACATGTCACCTGCGTGTCTGTTTATCTACGGACATCAAGCCCCACTGTTATAGGTGAGAGTTGTCAGATATAGGTTAATAATTATATAAACATATGGTTTCAAAGAGAAAAACATGGACAGCAAAAGAAGTTGTTTTTTTAAAAATTAAATGACACACAATAATGTTTTAAACACTTTTTCTCCATAAATCTCAGGCTTCTCATTTCAAGTTTTATTTAAAATTTGTGACATTAAACAATTAAAACTTATCTTTATGAGTTAAATTCGTAATATCATTAAAAAGTACGTTGCGGACAGACTGATAACTCCCTCGTTATAATTGATATACATTTCATGATTTTAATTGTTCTGTTGAACTGTACCTTATTAATATCTGCTACTGAACTTTTTGTTAAATATGTTTATATTTCTGGTTTTGGAAGCCTAAAGAGGTAACCATTCTTTTTTAAAAAAAGAAGGGGGGAGGGGGGAGGGGAGTGGTGGCGTTAAAAAAATAATAATAAAAAAATAATAATAAAATAAAAATAAACACAATTCTACTATACAAAACATGTTTCTTTGCATGAATCAGCTAAGTAGCCAGCTAATTAATCAGCTAAGTAACCATTTAAGTAAATGCCGTTGGACTGAATAGGAAACAAAACAAGAAAAGTAAACAGGATAAAAATATTTATAAATTTAAATACAAATATCAGTTACAACAAAACCCTAAAGAAAAATCGACTATTTTTGTTTTCTCGACTTTTTCTAATCGAGCGTTATTTAAATGATGTTGTCCTTATGATTTCTTTCCGGAAAGAATTTGTAACAATAAAATATTTACAGTTTTTTTTTCACTGAAAATAATTTATAAGATCAGTTGGATATTTTCAATATTTTCATTTCAATACAAATGCCACGTCACCATCTTAAATCCTGGTATTTCAAATTCCTGTTAATGACTGTTAATGACAGTTTTATATATTATTCCGTGTGCCAAATTCATTACGATCAAATTATTAAAATACAAAATAACCAAACTTTAATTACTCTCACCTTAGCTCCTCAGTAAGCAGCTGTATGCCTATTGAAAAGGACGTCAGCATTAAGTTCATCCCCAAGACCCGGGAGAACGCCCAAAGCATGAGTCAATACTTTGACTACACGGTAAACTTTCACCCTTGTAATATGAAATCTTTCATTGTTCTTCTAGCCATTCGTAGGAACATTGAGTTTAGTCTGCCATTATTTATTTATTTATTTAGGCATTTTTATATAGCGCTTACCATAAAGCTCTAAGCACTTTACAATTATTAAAAACATGTAAACTAAGTAAAATAAAAATGAGACACTAGGATAGTAACTACTATACTATACCATTACCATACGTAGGAACATTGGGTTTAGTCTGCCATTACCATACATAGGAACATTGAGTTTAGTCTGACATTACCATACGTAGGAACATTGAGTTTAGTCTGCCATTACCATACGTAGGAACATTGAGTTTAGTCTAAAATAAGACATTTTATTTTAAACAGATTTACATTTCCTAACAGATTGATCGAATTTATAACTATATGTGGTAACTTGCGTATCCTATTAAAATGTAATAAATTGCATATGTCTTCGGTTAACATCCCCAAAGCATACGTGTTGATTCTTTGCGATGGACCTTGTAACGAAACGATCATGTCATTATGATGATGACACCGATGTTACTTATAAATATAGTTGTGGTATTAATTATCTACATTCACAAAGCACGAGGGAAGCTCATGTATATAGCATCATAACAATAGTATTTGAAAATAAATTACAATACATAAAATACATATCCGAAATTGTAGGACATATAACTGATATTGTCTATTTACTTCACATATTACTTTCACACACATCTATTGAATAAGTAACCCGATATCTTTAATGAACATATGCTTCCATTTTATTTGTGTCCTTTTACTCTTCTTATCACTTCTACGCATGACCTATAATAATTAATTTACGGTTACTTCTAATTTATATAAAAAAAATACATTGCCCTAAATAAAATTATTATCTCACTATTTGATGAGTGGCAGACTTATTATCTCACTATTTGATGTGTGACAGACTTATTATCTCACTATTTGATGTGTGACAGACTTATTATCTCACTATTTGATGAGTGACAGACCTCTTCAAAGTAATCGATGTGGACTGTAAATAAATTACCGTATTATTAATTTTTCTTTTCAGATTTGAAAAAAATGCCTGTAATGACAGCAAATTCCTTAATTAGATAATTTATACTCTAAGATTTGTTGTCTCCTTAATTGTTATGTCCTAGATAGATGGCCAATCTCAATATTTTTGGACAGCCATCTTAAGGTAGTACAATGTCTTGGCAGACTTCTTAAGGTAATGCTATGTGTTTGCAGACATCTTAAGGTAGTTTTATGCTTTTTCAGACATCTTAAGGTAGTACTTAGTCTTTGGAGACTTCCTAAGTTAGTACTATGTCTTTCAAGACATCTTAAGGTAGTACTATGTTTTTGCAGACATCTTGAGGTAGTACTATGTCTTTCGAGACATTTTAAGGTAGTAATATACCTATTCAGACTTCTAAAAGTAGTACTATTTATCTGCAGACATCTTAAGGTAGTATATATGTCTTGGCAGACATCGTAAGGTAGCACGTGTGTCTTGGCATATAGTTTAAGATAGCACTTTTACGTACCATTATAATGTGTAGAGAAATTAATCTTTATCTTACTCGTTAGCCCGTTACTAACAGTACGTAACAAAGGACGATACCATTAACTAAATAGAGCAATAAAGGACGATATCGTTAACTAAATAGAGCCACAAAGGACGATACCATTAACTAAATAGAGCCATAAAGGACGATACCATTAACTAAATAGAGCCACAAATGACGATACCATTAACTAAATAGAGCAATAAAGGACGATACCATTAACTACATAGAGCCACAAAGGACGATACCATTAACTAAATAGAGCCAAAAAGGACGATACCATTAACTAAATAGAGCCACAAAGGAAGATACCATTAACTAAATAGAGCCATAAAGGACGATACCATTAACTAAAAAGAGCAATAAAGGACGATACCATTAACTAAATAGAGCCACAAAGGACGATACCATTAACAAAATAGAGCAATAAAGGACGATACCATTAATTAAATAGAGCCATAAAGGACGATACTATTAACTAAATAGAGCCACAAAGGACGATACCATTAACTAAATAGAGCCATAAAGGACGATACCATTAACTAAATAGAGGCACAAAGGACGATACCATTAACTAAATAGAGCAATAAAGGACGATACCATTAACTAAATAGAGCAATAAAGGACGATACCATTAACTAAATAGAGCAATAAAGGACGATACAATTAACTAAATAGAGCCACAAAGGACGAAACCATTAATTAAATAGAGCCACAAAGGACGATACCATTAACTAAATAGAGCAATAAAGGACGATACCATTAACTAAATAGAGCCAAAAAGGACGATACCATTAACTAAATAGAGCCACAAAGGACGATACCATTAACTAAATAGAGCAATAAAGGACGATACCATTAACTAAATAGAGCAATAAAGGACGATACCATTAACTAAATAGAGCAATAAAGGACGATACCATTAACTAAAAAGAGCAATAAAGGACGATACCATTAACTAAATAGATCCATAAAGGACGATACCATTAACTAAATAGAGCCACAAAGGACGATACCATTAACTAAATAGAGCAATAAAGGACGATACCATTAACTAAATAGAGCAATAAAGAACGATACCATTAATTAAATAGAGCCATAAAGAACGATACCCAAACTATTCCTAATTACATATAACAAGTTAGTAAGTTAACTTTACAATACAAAATAAAATAAAACTAAGGCTATCCACTTACAGTACAGCGATGAAATGGTAGCGGTACAATATTGGGAAGGTGCACAAACAAAAGATAAGTGGATTGGAAAAAATCTACGATCAGTACAGTATGTCAGCTCATTGGTCTCCTTCTCGAGTCGTACAGTAATCTTAATATCTCTCTCTCTCTCTATATCTCTCTCTCTCTCTCTCTCTCTCTATCTCTCTTTGTCTCGCAGTCTCCCCCTTTTCCCTACTTATTCCTAGTCTTTCATAGAGACTTTTCCAGAAAGGGATATACCTTGTATCTGTACCTAAGGCCGTTGTAACACATAGGTTCTGACATCATTGTAACTTAGTGGGTTATGTCAGTAGTATGGTTACTTATGTTAATACTTCAGGATGCCGACTAAGACTTCCTCATTCTTCCACTTATTATCCAGGCACGCAAAGAAGAATACTCAATTCTGTTTAAAACCTACAGTACTTTATTGAACACACTTTATACTGATAATATTAATAATACTCCTTGCATGAATGTAATTTCACATATATATATATAGTATTCCATCATTCAGAAAGACACGTCCTCACACTACTACAACTCAGCTCAACTGTTTTAATCACTCAGCTCTCCTAGCTCTCTCTACTGCTCTGCGCGCACTATCTCAGTCAACTCATACTTTATTACCAGCAAAGCGTGGAAAACTACCGCTTTGTCAAAAACATAATTTTACTCTCCAAAAACGTGGAGCTCACATTTTCATCTCAAATACACAATCCACTCTCTCTCGTGGAAAACACGGTCAACACAACTCACTGTTCACTCATGCTACCTCTCTGTTTTCATTGTGAAAACATAGTCTGTTACATGCCCCACCCATCTGAAAAAATTTTTGCAACAAAATTTTTGGCAAAAAACACATGTTGAAATAATGATGATGTCTCTTAGAAAATTTCAATACCACATCTATCAATCAAATAAGTGTATAAACATTAACATTTCATCATTATGAAATACAGTCAAAGGGACTGTTAATAACACTCATAATAGTGAATAATTTATTTTGGCAAAAAAATACAAAATCATTAATGACAAACTCTTAAAATTCTTACTGTATGATAATGTGCAGTGACATTGACATCTTAATGATTCATAAACACTGGGAAATGAATGTAACAACCTTAAATCTTGCATTAGAAAATTTTACAATTGGTTAAAATCTATTATTCATTTACAAAATTGATATATACAAGGGTATTTTCAAAAACTGATTGAATGTATGTGTGTACCTTCATTTAGAATGTTTGACTAATGTGTCTTAATTCAGTGTCTTTGTCACTTTCCGTATGGTCAATATGTCTTGAAAGGAAATCAGCTACTGTGTTGTCTTTTCCTTTTATTGTCCTTATCTCATACTGGTAATCAAATAGTATCAACGACCACCTGTTTATTTTGCTGTTTGCTATTTTCTTTCTATTTAGTTCCATCAATGGCTTGTGATCAGTTAATAAGATTCATTTTCTACCTAATTGATATTTCTGTAATTTTGTAAGTGCCTACACAATTGCTAAGCATTCCTTCTCAATGGTTGAGTAGTTAATTTCAGTTCTGCTTAGTGATCTACTTAAATAAAGTGATTGGTCTTAGTTTATGATTGACTTCTTGCATAAGGCAAGCTCCTAATCCAATGTTGGAAGCGTCTGTCACTAAAGTGAGAGACTGATTAAAGTTGGGTGATAACAATATGTTGTAACTTTGGATAATTTCTTTGATTGTTTTTAATGCATTCTCACATTCATCCGTCCATACTGTTTGTTTCTTGCTATCTTTTTTTATTAGTTTTCTTAAAGGTAAAGTAATATCAGAGAATTTTGGAACAAAAGTGCTGTAAAAATTGCACAAACCTAAAATGGCTTTGACTTCTTTTTGAGTGTGTTGTGTTTTTATGTTTAATATTTTTCCTCTGTTGTGTTCTGTGGGCTGAATTGTGCTCTTACTGACTTTAAATCCTAAAAATTATATTTCCTCTTGTGCAAATTTTAATTTGTTTGGTGCAATGGTGACTCCATGTGATCTTAATTTGTCTAGTACTACTTTTTTGTGTCTATATGTGTTTTCATATCTTTGGTGTGGATGCAGATATCATCAACAAAATGTACAACATTTGGTATGCCTGCTAGCATGATTCGCATGAATCGAGAAAATGTTGCGGTAGAATTGACCAAACCAAATGGCATTACTGTCCATTCGAATAAGCCTTCCTCTGTGGCAAATGCAGTATAAGGCATGGAATCTGGATGCATGCCTATTTGCCAGAATCCTCTGTTTAAATCTAGGTTTGTGAATAATGTGGAGGAGCCTATTTCCTCAAGTAGTTCTCTGATGTCCCTCATGGGTTCTGCATCTAACTGTGTAATTTTATTTAACTCCCTATAATCACAGCATATACGGCACTGGCCATTTTTCTTTTTTACTACTACCATGGGTGATGCTATTGGTGAATCTGATCTTTAATCTTGTTAGTCTGTATTAAATGATTAGTTCTTTCTTTACTTCTTCCCTAAATGCATATGGGATTGGATAGATTTTGTGTTTGAATGTGGGTTCCTGTGTTAATATAATTTTGTGATCTAAACTACTAGTGTGTCCTATGTTCTCTGTGATGACATCTTTGTATTCTTTTAGAATTGTTGTTAAGTGTCTGTTTGTTGTGGTGTTATTTTCATTGTCTTCTAAATGTATAACACTAGCAATGGTGGCTGTGCTAATTATTTCATTAGTGATGGTTTGTAAATCTTCTGGACAAGAGTCATATTTTCTGAGCAAGTCCACATGCAGGACTTTCAGTTCACCCTTCATGTGGATTACATAATCAACTAAATTTAACTTATCATGTACTGTAAAAGGACCCTGCCAGATCTTTTGTCCATTACTGTTTTGCAACCAGACTAAAACTTTATCATTTACTTTAAGATCTCTGAGGTATCTATTTGTATTCTTTATGTGTCATTGTTTTTTAGATTCCCTATCAGTGTTTTCTTTAGCATTTTCTATGCCATATGTTATCCTCTCTCTAATTTTTGTAATTATGTCAAATGTGTCCTGTTGTGTGCCTTTCTGACCTAAGATATTTTCTTTAAAAGTGTTAATGGTCCCTTTGGATTGGCCCCAAACATTAGCTCAAATGGAGAGTACCCAGTGGTGTTTGTATACTCTCTCTATAGGCGAATAGAACCATGGGTATATATAGGTGCCATTCTCTAGGGTGGTCTATTGTTTTATTTAACATTATTTTTAGTGTCTTGTTCCATCTTTCTACCATACCATTGGCTTGTGGTCTGTATATTGTGGAATGCACTTGTATTATACCTAGCAATTTTGTGACAGCATTGGTTAAGTTGGAAGTAAACTGTGACCTTATCTGATAGTATTTTATCAGGGAACCCATGTCTTGTAAATACATCTAACAATGCATGCATATTGTTTCTGAATTAATGTTTTTAAGGGGAATAGCCTCTGGCCATCTAGATGCCATATCATTCATGGTTAAAATAAATTTATGTCCCTTATTTGAAGGTGAATTAAGAGGACCAATGATGTCTATAGCGACCTTCTCAAAGTTTCTGCCTATTTTGTCTGTGGGTTGTATGGGTGCTTTGTGTTTACTGTGTATTGGGTTTTTTGTCAGACAAGGTTTGCATTTGTTTATGTTTTTCTTTATATCTTTATGAATGCCTGGCCAATAAAAATTCTGGGTTATCCTTTCTAAAGTTCTCTTTAAACCCATGTGTCCAGCTAAAGGGCTGTCATGTGCATGGTTAAGTATTTTGTCTCTGAGTATTAGTGGTACAATTATTTGAGATCTTTTGACTTCACCTTTTTCAAAATTTCTAATTAGAATATTGTGTTTTATTGTGTAATTATGTCCTCTATAAATTGAGTTATTGTCCTTAATTTTGTTTCTAATCTCCTGAATTTGACTATCTTCTGTCTGCATTCTAATTATGTCTTCTCTTGATATTTGTTTTGGAATGTCTAATTTTTGTTCTACTTCAGGCTGTGTTTGACTGGTTTTATGTTGTTGTCATGTTATTGCATTTATGTACTCTTTGGTTAAATTTTTGGATTCAATCCACTTTAAAAATAGTTCTTGGGAATTATCTTGAATTTCTTTGATATTTCCAATTATTAACTGACAGACTGGGTTTTCCATGAGTACTGCTGTTACTTTTCCTGTTATCCATTGACAGTCTATTTCCACTATTGCTTTACAACATTCAACTTTTGTATTATTTGTTAACATGACTGTGGTTTTTTCATATATGTGATCTTTAGGATCAATCAATTTTTTTGTCAACTACTATTGTTGTACAACCTGTGTCTCTTAGACACTGAACAAGTTGGTTGTTTATATATGAAGAAAAAAAATGTAAACTCCCTTCACTGTGGCATGCACTAGCTAAAGTTTCATGTGGTTTGATGTTGAGTTGTCTACTGTTAGCCTGATTGGAATTATATCTTTGGTTTTTATATGGTTGTCTACTCCTATTTTTACTGTTGTATTTAATTGGACTGCTGTTGGGTGATGTTCTCTGATAGTATTGGTGTGAATGTCCTAAATCTCTATGTAATTTCCTACACTAATATTTCTTGTGACCTGGAATGCTACAGTAGAAACATTTGTTGTTGTTTGAGTAATTAGCATATGTCTGGTAATTATTTGGATAATTTTTCTGAAATTTATTATTTTGCCATCTGGCAGGTAGGCTTTGGTATCTTCTGTTTTGATATGTGTTTTGTTTTTGTGTGTCCCTATCACTGGGTATGTTTCTAATGGAGGCTAATGTACTATTTCTATTATCTAGCTCTTCATTGGGGTGAGCATCTTTAAATGTTGTGATTGAGTCAACTAACTCACGCTCATTTTTAATTTTTCTCTCTTTAAGGAATGAAAATAAAGAAATTGATGCATTTCTTAATATTTTGTCTATAATAAACATATCTAGTAATGCTTTGGGATCATTTAGGTCAATTTCAGTGAGTTCAAGCCATTTGACAAGATTATCCCTAATATTGAATATAGTGGTGTTTGGGTCTATTTCTCTCTCTAGTCTTATGTTGTGAAAATTTGTTTCTATAAATGTCTTCTGTGTTTCCATAAAACTTTAACAAAACTTTCTTTATATAGGTATAATTATTCTTTTGCTCTTTACTAAGTGAATTAATGATACTTAGGCTTTTTCCTGATAATCTGCTCAATAAAATATTTGCCCAAGTTTCTTCCCTAAAATTGTAAGATTGACAGATGCCCTCAAATTGTGACAAATAACTAATAATTTCCTCTTTATGTTCATTAAATTCCCTAAATTTAGGTTTGTATGTGCTATTGTTTTCTCTATTGCTTGTTGATGGTGTATGCTGTCCTGATTCTATTCTAGCTCTTTCTAGTTTTATTTCTTCCTCTCTTAATTTCATATCCTGTTCTTTTAATTTCATTTCTTCTATTTCTTTTTGTCCTTTTAATTTTAGTTCTTCTATTTGTTTAAGGTCGCTTCTCTCTAACAGTCTAGCGTCTCTGTCTTTGTCTTGTCTTTCCTTAATTTTGTCCATCTCCCTAGTTACGAAGTCAGCTAAATTCTCCTGCTTTATGCCAAGCTTTTCAGCTACCTATAATAGTTCTGTTAAGTTTTAATTGTTTTTATTTCCAACAACTATCATAAACATATATATACATAAATACACGTTCTCAATCAGGTGCTGACTTTATTCTTGCGTCCAGAACACGGTTCATAAACACACACACTTTCTGTCCAGTATCTCTGCGCATGCGCGCTCTTTCCTTGGCTGGCTATCGGTACGGGCCAGTCCACTAGTCCACCATAACACCTCCCCGAACAATTACAAGTCCAGTACCAATGGTGCTCGACGTTGTCTTTGAGATCTTCTGGGTAAGACATAGTCTGAAGGTCCTGGATGTCGAGGGTTAATCTTCTTCTTATGTGGACTTGGAGTTGCTGGATGTGTAGACGGTTGATGACTCAGGGCTGCCTGAGCTGTTGGATAAAGACTTCCTGTCATTATATCAAAACCTGGTTCTGAAATTCTTCTGCTCCGTACCTGGGGCGAAGTATGTCTAAATGTCTCTTCCTTGAATCTTTACCTTGAAGAGACGTGGACCCATAACTTGCGTGATTGTACCGGGAGCCCAACGTGGTTTAGAGTCTGTTGCTGTTCCATACACTCTGACGTAACATGAATCTCCACGGTTAAATGATCGACTAGGACTTCTGTTTGTCCCATTGCGAACGGCTATTTCTTTAAGATGTTGTCCCTGTGCTCGATGAGCAGGAGAGGGAACTAGCGTATCAATAAGTGTTCTTATTTGTCGATTGTTCAGCAGTTGGCTTGGTGATAATCCACTTGCCAATGGTGTCCTACGATACTGACGCAGAAAGTCTTGTAGAGATTCCTTTAAAGGTAATGAGGATTTCTTCAGTGAACTCTTGAAACTTTGAATGAGTCGTTCGGCAGCTCCATTCGTAGCAGGATGATAGGGAGCGCCTGCAAGATGTACAATACCCCTCTCCTTACACCAATGCTGAAATTCTTCTGAGATGAAGCAAGTAGCATTGTCACTCACTATGGTGTGTGGATAGCCGAAATGAGCAAAATCTTCCTCCAGAAGATCAATGGTAGTTTTGGTCGATGTAGATGTTGTCCTGTTGATACATGGGTACTTTGAATAAGCATCTATCACCACCAGCCAATGTGATCCCTTAAAGTTAATGGCATGATCGATATGCACTCGACTCCATGGTTTTTCTGGCAGCATCCATGGGTGGATGCTTGCTTTGTTTGGGTCTCTGGCGTGTTCTGCACATGCTTGGCATGTTCGACCAATCTCCTTGATTTGAGTATCAAGTCCAGGCCAATATACAGATAATCTTGCTAACTGTTTCATCCGCTCGATTCCAAAATGTCCTGTATGCAGGATTTGGAGAACTTGAGCTTGTAAGATTTTTGGTACCACAATTCTTGAACCATAAAATAGACAATTCGACTCCACGGAGAGTGATTCTTTAATATTTTTAAAAGCTGCTATATTAGCTGCATCCTTGTTCAAGTGTTCTTTGTTTACAGAGGAAGCCCATCCCTCTTGACAATATCTCATTACTGTAGACACAGTAGAATCTTTAAGTGACTCTTTAGCAAGGACTCCTGGGTCTGTTGGTCTGATCTGTAAACTGATTTGTTTGATCATACATACAGCATCCATGTCTGCTTCACTTTCTTCAACATCAAAATTGTCATCAGGCCCTGAGGGTAGACGACTAAGAGCATCCGCATTGCAATCTCCAGTTGACTTACGGATTTTTTCACGAGCTTTAATCAATGAGTTTTGATTAGCAATGTGATTTGTCCTTGTTTGAAACAGTGCGTCTATTGAAATCCTGAGGTTCTTTATTGCAGTTCTGCCCAACAAGTTTAAGCTGTGGTTTTTCACTACTACAAATGACAAATTTGTAGTTATTTCCCCTGCTTCAGCCTTTATCTGCACACTTCCCAAAACATTAAGTAGGTCAAATTGATCCCTCATTATTCTATATATTTCTTCTATGTTCAAGTCATTTAAATTTTGTGGTGGTTCTTTTTGTTGTACGATGGTTGATAACATTTTATGCAGCTCCGGCGTCTGGCTTGTTAAAAAAAATTGTGCCTGCATTTCCTTTGGCACATTATTTGCCAACACGAAGGTCACATATCTAGCGTAGTAGTCTGTGAACGTTTCCTCGTTACTATTGAAATGTGTAAACTTCATATTCGTAGCCGTATTACCTGTGGCTAGTTTCAAAAGTAGCTCGTTCTGTTGTATGAGCTTCTGGATAATGTCAGCTTGGGTCAGAGTTGACTCCATTGTGTATTTACTTCCTCCGTTCCGTGAACTCACTCGTGCGTATCAATTATGACTCGGTTGTACTGAGTTGTACTGTGTTTTGTATTGAGTTAACACTGACCATCATACTGTGACGTTGATGCTGATCGATACCACTGTGATGTTTATACTGGCCATCATTTTGTTATGTTTTAATTGTTTTTATTTCCAACAACTATCATAAACATATATATACATAAATACACGTTCTCAATCAGGTGCTGACTTTATTCTTGCGTCCGGAACACGGTTCATAAACACACACACTCTCTGTCCAGTATCTCTGCGCATGCGCGCTCTTTCCTTGGCTGGCTATCGGTACGGGCCAGTCCACTAGTCCACCATAACAAGTTCTAAGTACTCTGCCATTTTGAATTAATTGTTTGAGTAACTAAAATAATATATTGGTATGTATAAGTATGTCAGTTATTTCTTATTGAGTTATCAATTACAATAGTTCACAATATTACATTATATTTACATGTTCATGAATGAATACAAAATGCAAGTTAATAATTAATTAAATGTAAGAAAAATTTAAAAAATAATTAAATTGTCTACTTCACAACATAAATACAGATATGTAGACGTTTACATGGATACGAATGAGACAACAAATACAAAAGTACTGTTATAGTTTATGGACCACAAGATAGTAGAAAATATGACAGCAGGTTTGACAATATGTATAACAATGACAAGACAAATAGAACAAATCTGACAAGATCTACTAAAAAACAACAGTTATGACAATGTACAAAATAGACTTCACAACTAACATAAAATTATCCTACAGTGTTATAAATAGGGCCAGAAGAAACCTTTAAGATAACACCGTGGATATCCCTAAAGTATACTTTAAAATTAAACTTATAATATACAGAAAAAGTAAAAAAATTACTTAATCTAATTAAGTATGATATAAGAAGATTTTTAAAGTCTTAAATTATATACAATACATAACACATAATATAAATAAATACCAAGTGCCCAAAAGAAATCTGTAGTTGGTCAACTCTGCTCCTCTGTGACGCTATGATCTGTGTAGTCGATAATCCTTCTATGTAGAAGTGTACTTGGGTAAAATAATCCAATGAGAAAAGTTACAACACAAATTGCTGCAATAACCTTGCTTAATAGTGTAATAATCCAATTTAAAAATAGTGTACTTTCTCTCCGATTCTGTTAAACTTGTGAGTAATTAAAGAATTACTTGACTTGAATTACGCACTAGGCTATGTGCGGCTTATATAAAGTAAAGATTATGCTGGGGAAATCTTACTTTCGATGTCTTGATAAAACATCTCATCTGTAATGACGTCAGCCTTCTGTTGGTCTTGTGTAGTGGATCATCTCTTTCGTTGACTAATAACTGTAAAATAGATTTCTTGCTGTTTCTTCCACGAGAATATTCACTCCACTGTTGTTATATAATTGAAGCAGTGTACCAGTTAGCTGTTTGAACTCTGAACTTTTGAATCCCGTGACCTAAATTGTCGGCTAGCTCTGTGTGTAGTGGACTCTCCTCAGACTTGATTGATACACGGACGTAATGACGTTCGATGTATCCTTCCGCACGAATGTTAAAAAATATCGTTGTTACTCAAGAGTCAATCTTCTGTAACACATCGTTGTTCTGACACTTCTGACACCATTTGTAACACATAGGTTCTGACATCATTGTAACTTAGTGGGTTATGTCAGTAGTATGGTTACTTATGTTAATACTTCAGGATGCCGACTAAGACTTCCTCATTCTTCCACTTATTATCCAGGCACGCAAAGAAGAATACTCAATTCTGGTTAAAACCTACAGTGCTTTATTGAACACACTTTATACTGATAATATTAATAATACTCCTTGAATGAATGTAATTTCACATATATATATATAGTATTCCATCATTCAGAAAGACAAGTCCTCACACTACTACAACTCAGCTCAACTGTTTTAATCACTCAGCTCTCCTAGCTCTCTACTGCTCTGCGCGCACTATCTCAGTCAACTCATACTTTATTACCAGCAAAGCGTGGAAAACTACCGCTTTGTCAAAAACATAATTTTACTCTCCAAAAACGTGGAGCTCACATTTTCATCTCAAAAACACAATCCACTCTCTCTCGTGGAAAACACGGTCAACACAACTCACTGTTCACTCATGCTACCTCTCTGTTTTCATTGTGAAAACATAGTCTGTTACAGCCGTCTTGTTCACATGTAGTCTAGTTCAAGTTTACCAACAATAATTTTACCAAACTTGGGGTCACCCAGAGTTCACGCATGAGATGTACGAGAAACATGACGTAGATACGATGCAAAGCTTCTACCGTAACTGTTCTAAAGTCATTTTCTCAACAGCCTGAGATCAGCTTCTACCGCAACGAGAGATACGATGTTAAAATCACCGACAACCCTTACGCTGTGGAGGTCGGCGATTGGGTGTACATTGGTGTCAGTGTCAAGACCGAGAACCAGTCCATGTTCAGAGACAGTGATCTGAAGCTGGTTGTCAATCATTGTACCGGCAACCCAATCCGAGAAATGATTTACGGGATTAACCCCGCCGACATTGTGACACTGATTGACAACAAGTACGTGGCTGTAGGATCATTTCAATAAATATGGAAGCCTTTGAACAGATTCACACACACATACACATACACTAATGTGTAAAGAAATGAAATGCTTCACCAGTTCAATTCAAAGTAAATTTTATTTTTAATACATTAGTTATAACTTGAGATCAATTACTATAAAATTCTCTAAACCAATTCAGAAGAGGTTCATCTGTATTGCTATCCGCTGATATCGGTTGGAGGGGGAAAATTCCTCAAATTTTTAACTAGCAACAAAGTTTCACAAAAGTAACGAAAAATTTCAATGGGAGTCGCTTAGTCACTTCATTGTTTGGTCACGTGATGTGAGTAAGCCATCACTAGGCTACTACACACAAAAGATACTTCATCAGTGCTTCCCCAATGTCATGTTACTTAAAAATTTTACCTTTCGAAATATTCTGGAATACACGCGTTTTTTAAATGAAATCCATAAATGTGACAATAAATATACGCCAGTTATAATTAAAGGAAGAAAGTTATTTCAAGAAAAATTTGTGAGCGATATTCGATGGGAACTATCAATACTATTATCGGCAGGCTTTTGTTGAGCTCCGTATGTGCTCATGACGTCATTTGCGTTTTTATTCAATATTGATGCAGGAGTCATTCCCCTTTGTTTATTTTATTGTTAATTTTCATTTGACGAAATGTAGTGTAGTGTAGTTGTAGTGTGTATCGGGCTACTGTTGTCAAGCACTAGTGTGTTGTATACAGCCTACCGGAAGTCTTACTTGTTTTTACTCACATCACGTGACAAATCAATCGACTAAGCGACTCCCATTACGACTGTTTTTTTTTTGTTAACACTCATTTGCGCTGTTATGAAAAGCGTGATCCTAAACGGAAGTTAAGACTATCATTTCTTTCGCTTCCAAATGTAAATTTTCTTACACATAATTTTACGTTTAAGAATAAAAAAAATAATAAATAGGTAAATATTCACTCCCCTCCCCAAAAAATAGGGGAAAAAAACAAACAAGAAGAACAACAAGAAACAATAAAACTTTAAAACCACTTAGCTGTGTGGCTGTGTCGCTCTGTCTCTGTGTGATTGTGTGGCTGTGTCTCTGTGTGGCTGTGTCACTGTGTGGCTGTGTCTCTGTGTTGCTGTGTCTCTGTGTGGCTGTGTGGATGTGTCTCTGTGTGGCTATGTCACTATGTGGCTGTGTCTCTGTGTGGCTGTGTCACTGTGTTACTGTGTGGATGTGTGGGTGTGTCTCTGTGGGGCTTTGGGGCTGTGTCGCTGTGTTGCTGTGTCGCTGTGAGGCTGTGTCGCTGTAAGGCTCTGTGGCTGTTTGGCTGTGTGGCTGTTTGGCTGTGTGGCTAGTCACTGTGTGTCTGTGTGGCTGTGTGACTGTGTGGCTGTGTCACTGTGTGGCTCTGTCGCTTTGTGATTGTCAATGTGTGGCTGTGTCGCTGTGTGACTGTTTCGCTGTGTCACTGTGTGGCTGTCTCGCTGGGTGTCTGTGTGACTGAGTCGCTGTGTGTCTGTGTGGCTGTGTCGCTTAGAGGCTGTGTCGCTGTATGTCTGTGTGGCTGTGTCGCTGTGTGGCTGTTTCGCTGTGTGGCTGTGACTCTCTGTGGCTGTGTCACTGTGTGCTGTGTCACTGTGTGGCTGTGTCTCTGTGTGGTTGTTTCTCTGTGTGGCTGTGCCTCTGTGTGGCTGTGCCTCTGTGTGGCTGTGCCTCTGTGTGGCTGTGCCTCTGTGTGGCTGTGTCTCTGTGTGACTGATTGGCTATGTCTCTGTGTGGCTTTCTCTGTGTGGCTGTCTCTGTGTGGCTGTGTATGTGTGTCGCTGTGTGGATGTGTCACTGTATGTCTGTGTGGCTGTGTCTCTGTTCTGTGTGGCGGTGTCTCTGTGTGGCTTTGTTTCTGTGTGGCTGTGTCTCTGTGTGGATGTGTCTCTTTTTGGCTGTGTCTCTGTGTGGCTGTATCTCAGTGTGGCTGTGTCTCTTTGTGGCTGTGTCTATGTGTGGCTGTCTTGCTATTTCACTGTGCGGCTGTGTCTCTGTGTGACCGTGGCTCTGTTGTTGTGTCTATGTGTGGCTGTGTCTCTGTGTTGATGTGCCTCAGTGTCACTGTGTCCCTTTGTCTCTGTGTGGGTTTGCATCTGTGTGCCTGTGTCTTTGTGTGGCTGTGTCTCTGTGTGGCAATGTTACTGTGTGGCTGTGTTGCTGTGTTGCTGTGTCGCTGTGTGGCTGTGTCGCTGTGTGGCTTTGTCACTGTGTGAATTTTTCTATGTGTGGCTGTGTCTCTGTGTCACTGTGAGGCTGTGTGGCTGTGTGTATGTGTGGCTTTTTCTCCATGTCGCTGTGTGCTGTGTCTCTGTGTGGCTGTGTCTCTGTGTGGCTGTGTCACAGAGTGGCTGTGTCTCTGTCTGGCTGTGTCGCTTAGAGACTGTGTCGCTGTATCTCTATGTTGCTGTGTCTCTGTGTGGCTTTATCTCTGTGTGGCTGTGTCTTTTTGTGGCTATATCTCTGTCTGGATGTGTCTCTGTGGGGCTGTGTCTCTATGTGGCTCTGTCGCTGTGTGGCTGTGTGGCTGTGTCTCCATGTCGCTGTATCTCTTTGTGGCTTTGCCTGTGTGGATGTGTCTCTGTGTTACTGTGTCTCTGTGTGGCTTTGTCACTGTGTGGGTGTGTGGCAGTGTGGCTGTGTCTCTGTGTTGCTGTGTCTCTGTGTCACTGTTTGGAGGTGTCACTGTATGTTTGTGTGGCTGAGTCTCTGTGTAGCTTTGTCTCTGTGTCCCTGTGGGGATGTGTCTGTGTCGCTGTGTGTCTGTGTGGCTGTTCTCCGTGTCGCTGTGTCTCTGTGTGGCTTTACCTCTGTGTGACTGTGTCTCTGTGTGGCTGTGTTTCTGTGTGGCTGTGTCTCTGTGCGGCTGTGTCACTGTGTGGCTATGTCACTGTGTCGCTGTGTGAATTTGTCTCTGTGTCACTGTGAGGCTGTGTGGCTGTGTCTCTGTGTGGCTGTGTCTCTGTGTGGCTGTGTCACTGTGTGGCTGTGTCTCTGTGTTGCTGTGTGGATGTGTCTCTGTGTGGCTCTGTCGCTGTGTGATTGTCAATGTGTGGCTGTGTCGCTGTGTGGCTGTTTGGCTGTGTCACTGTGTAGCTGTGTCGCTGGGTGTCTAAGTGACTGAGTAGCTGTGTGTCTGTGTGGCTGTGTCGCTTAGAGGCTGTGTCGCTGTATGTCTGTGTGGCTATATCGCTGTGTGGCTGTTTCGCTGTTTGGCTGTGACTCTTTGTGGCTGTGTCACTGTGTGCTGTGTCACTGTGTGCTGTGTCACTGTGTGGCTGTGTCTCTGTGTGGCTGTTTCTCTGTGTGGCTGTGACACTGCAAGGCTGTGTGGCTGTGCCTCTGTGTAACTGTGCCTCTGTGTGGCTGTGTCTCTGTTTGACTGAGTGGCTATGTCTCTGTGTGGCTGTCTCTGTGTGGCTGTCTCTGTGTGTCGCTGTGTGGATGTGTCACTATATGTCTGTGTGGCTGTGTCTCTGTTCTGTGTGGCGGTGTCTCTGTGTGGCTTTGTTTGTCTGTGGCTGTTTCTCTGTGTGGATGTGTCTCTTTTTGGCTGTGTCTCTGTGTGGCTGTGTCTCAGTGTGGCTGTGTCTCTTTGTGGCTGTGTCTATGTGTGGCTGTCTTGGTATTTCACTGTGCGGCTGTGTCTTCGTGTGACCGTGTCTCTTTGTGGCAGTGACTATGTGTGGCTGTGTCTCTGTGGGGCTTTTTGCTGTGTGGCGGTGTCTCTGTATGGCTGTGTCTCTACGTGGCTCTGTTTCTGTGTGGCTGTGTCGCTGTGTGGCTTTGACTCATTGTGGCTGTGACTATACGTTACTGTGTCTCTGTGTGTCTGTGTCACTGTGTGGTTGTGTCTCAGTGTGGCTGTGTAGCTGTGTCTCAGTGTGGCTGTGTCTCAGTGTGGTTGTGTCTCTGTGGGTCTGTGTATCAGTGTGGATGTGTCTCTGTGTGGTTGTGTCGCTCTGTGGCTGTGTCGCTGTGTGGCTGTGTCTCTGTGTGAATTTGTCTATGTGTGGCTGTGTCTCTGTGTGGCTGTATTTCTGTGCTGCTTTGTTTCTGTGTGGCTGTGTGGCTGTGTCTATAAGTTGTGTGTCGCTGTGTTGCTGTGTCTCTGTGCAGCTGTGTGTCTGTGTTGCTCTCTGGCAGTGTCTCTATGTTGCTGTGTCTCAGTGTGTCTGTGTTGCTGTGTCTCCGTGTGGCTGTGTCTCTGTGTGGCTGTGTCTCTGTGTGGCTGTGTCTCTGTGTGGATGTGTCTCTGTGTGACTGTGTCTCTGTGTTGCTGTGTGGCTCTGTCGTTGTGTCTATGTGTGGCTGTGTCTCTGTGTTGATGTGCCTCAGTGTCCCTTTGTGAATGTGTCTCTGTGTTGCTGTTTCTCTGTGTGGCTGTGTCTCCGTGTCGCTGTTTCTCTGTGTGGGTTTGCATCTGTGTGCCTGTGTCTTTGTGTGGCTGTGTCTCTGTGTGGCAATGTTACTGTGTGGCTGTGTCGCTGTGTGGCTGTGTCGCTGTGTGGCTTTGTCACTGTGTGAATTTTTCTATGTGTGGCTGTGTCTCTGTGTCACTGTGAGGCTGGTAGGCTGCGTGTCTGTGTGGCTTTTTCTCCATGTCGCTGTGTGCTGTGTCTCTGTGTCGCTGTGTCTCTGTGTGGCTGTGTCTCTGTGTGGCTTTGTCTCTGTGTGGCTGTGTCACAGAGTGGATGTGTCTCTGTCTGGCTGTGTCGCTTAGAGGCTGTGTCGCTGTACCTCTGTGTGGCTGTGTCTCTGTGTGGCTTTGTCTCTGTGTGGCTTTGTCTCTGTGTGGCTTTGTCTCTGTGTGGCTTTGTCTCTGTGTGGCTGTGTCTCTTTGTGGCTATATCTCTGTCTGGATGTGTCTCTGTGGGGCTGTGTCTCTATGTGGCTCTGTCGCTGTGTGGCTGTGTGGCTGTGTCTCCATGTCGCTGTGTCTCTTTGTGGCTTTGCCTGTGTGTGGCTGTGTCTCTGTGTTACTGTGTCTCTGTGTGGCTTTGTCACTGTGTGGCTGTGTGGCAGTGTGGCTGTGTCTCTGTGTTGCTGTGTCTCTGTGTCGCTGTTTGGATGTGTCACTGTATGTTTGTGTGGCTGTGTCTCTGTGTAGCTTTGTCTCTGTGTCCCTGTGGGGCTGTGTGTCTGTGTCGCTGTGTGTCTGTGTGGCTGTGTCTCCGTGTCGCTGTGTCTCCGTGTGGCTTTACCTCTGTGTGACTGTGTCTCTGTGTGGCTGTGTCTCTGTGCGGCTGTGTCACTGTGTGGCTATGTCACTGTGTCGCTGTGTGAATTTGTCTCTGTTTCGCTGTGTGGCTGTGTGGCTTTGTGAATGTTTCTCTGTGTGGCGTTGTTCATTTGAAGCTGTGAGGCTGTGTGGTTGTTTAGCTGTGATCAGTGGAAGGATAAATAATTCGTTCCGTCCATTCGAATATCATATAACATTGGTAGATCACTTTTCTTTATTAGCACCAGGTTCACAAGAACAAACATTGTTGTTCTAGAAATGCCTAAGTCGAGGCAATTAAGGAATACACTGTTTTTTTAAATAACTGCTTTCTTAGACTTAGTTAGTAAATCTTAAGTCTGAGAACATTGGCTGACTTTAACTTAACTTGAATTTCAATTATCACGCTTGGTGTCTTTTGACCTCTTTAAAAAATGTTCAATCATACTGAGCAGAAATTATTGTCAACACAAATCTCGAGGCTCTTCAATTCTAATTTTGTGGGTTTATTTTTAAAGAAGTATTGTTAGCAGCATGTCCCCATTGTTGTTGTGAGCAGTATTGTTAGCATCATGTCCCCATTGTTGTTGTGAGAAGTATTGTTTGCACCATTGCCATACTGCTGTTTAAAATGTATTTGTTTTTGACAACCTACTATAGGTGTCCATCTGATCTGGCCAGTGTCACCACCTACCCCATCAGCGATACCACTGAAGGTTTTCGATTCAGAGCTTTCAAATTCTTCGGCTACTCCTCTGTCTACGTGACGTGTCACCTGCGTGTCTGTTTATCGTCAGATCCCAAGCCCCTGTGTGATAGGTGAGAGTTTTCAAATATAGGTTAATAATTTTATATATAAATATGGTTTCAAATAGAAAAACATGGACAGCGAAAGTATGTTGTTTTTAAAATTGAAAGACAACATACTATATTTTAGACGCCTTGTCTCCATAAATCTCAGGCTTCTGTTATCAAGTATTATTTAAAATGTGTAATACTAAACTATTAAAACTTATCTTAGTGACTTAAATTCGTAATAATATTTAAAAATCGCAGAAATTCATCTATGATAACATCAATTATTTTTTTAAACTCTCTAGATCCTGTTTTAAAGATAACATAATTGGACGCAAGAGGCGTAACTTGGCTGATGAAGTCACCGGACTGGACACAGTTGTCTCCCAAACTCTACTGATCACCGACCCCAAGCAGCCCCCAGTAAACGCACTTCCAGCCCAGTCACACGAAGACAGAACCGTTGAAAGGATTAATCCACGTTTTCTTAAGCCTTCATATCAAGGCTGACCTTGATATTTATAACTAATCATTCTGGGAATTTGCGAGATCGGAACATAATTTGGCGTTTAACATCTTCTGATCTTTTCGTTGTAATGTGACGCTACAGATTCGTTTAATAACTTTATGATTTAAATTGTTATAAAAACTGAAATAAAAGATAATACCATTTAAAGCTTACAATCTTATGAATTATTTTTACTTTAAAACTTTAACAAAAATAACAGGTAAAATATGACCCCAAAAATTATGATGCATTTTTTTTTAGGGGGGGGGGGTAGATTTTGAATAAATATGACGTGAAATGTACACACGTATCTTTCAATTTATGAAATGTATGATTTCACAGTTACACAGTATTTATCGTGAAGATTTTCGATTCAGAGCTTTCAAATTCTTCGGTTACTCCTCTGTCTACGTCACATGTCACCTGCATGTCTGTTTATCTACGGACATCAAGGTCCACTGTGATAGGTGAGAATTGTCAGATATAGGTTAATAATTATATAAAAATATGGTTTCAAATAGAAAAACATGGACAACAAAAGTACTTTTTTGTTTTTTTTTTAAGATTAAAAGACACACAATTCTGTTTTAGACACTTTGTCTCCATAAATCTCGGACTTTTTAAAATTTGTGACATTAAACAATTAAAACTTATCTTTATGAGTTAAATTCGTAATACTATTCAAAAGTAAATTGTGGACAGACTGATAACTCCATCGTTATAGTTGATATACATTTCATGATTGTAATTGCTCTGTTCAACTATGTCTTATTTATCTTTCTATATCCTCAATTTTTTTTGTATCTCTCTAGATCCTGCTTTAAAGATAACATCATTGGACGTAAGAGGCGTAACCTGGCTGATATTGTAACTGGAATGGACACAGTTGTCTCCCAGGTTCTACAGATCACCGACCCCAAGCAGCCCCCATTGAACAACACACTGCCAGCCCAGTCACACGAAGTCAGGACGATTGAAAGTACCAATCCTCCTTTTCTTAAGCCTTAAAATCAACGGTCAATGTCAAGGCTTACCTAGATATTTATAGCTTGTGATTCTGGGAATTCGCGTGTTCGGAGAATAATTTCACGATTAACAGCTTCTGATTTTTCGGTATAACGTGACGCAACACATCCGTTTAATATTATTTAAAGTGTTAGAAAAAAACTGAACATAAAGATAATACCATTTAAATCTGACAACCTTACGAATTTTTTTTTACATTTAAGAATTTTTTAATGATATTTTAAATATGAAAAACAAGAAATATAATGTGTTTTTATTGTTCTTTTTATAAATATGAAATAAATCCAATATAAAATAAATAAAATAGAGTAGGGTTAAACCTGAAAAAAGAAACGCAACAAAACAACGCACGTGTCGGCAAAAAGCCTTCGTCAGCGAACAAAACAGAAAAAAATTATAACATTAAAAATAAGAAATAGCACCTAGCTTGGAAGTAGTATCCGTGGGCAGCAAAAGAAATGTGTGCCCCAAAACAATGGAATTCTCTTCAACTACACATCCGCAATATACCGACCATACAGGACTTCAAAACTGCACTCAAAACACATCTCTTTAAACTCTACTTTCCTGACTGATTCTTTCTCTAACGGATAAACGATGCTCCTGGGCGCCGTCCATGACTTGATATGTAAATAGTTATGAAATGGGTGGAGGGAAAATACATTTCTTTTGTTTTTATACAGTTGTTTTTTATTTCATTAATGTAAGTTAAGTTTTAAGTTCATGAATATTTTTTAAAAATTGTATGTACAGAGCGGTGAGCCTAGCCCTAGTTTTTTGGGTAGTGCGCTGTATAAAACAACTAATTTGCGGTACAGTGCTATATAAAACCACTAATTGGGGTACAGCGCATATAAAACAACTGTTTTGTGGTACAGCGCTATATAAAATCAATAATTTGGGGTACAACCAATTGGGGTACAGCGCTAACATAAAATCACTAATATGGGGTACAGCGCTAATATAAAACAACTAATTTGGGTTACAGCTCTATATAAAACCACTACTAATAATAATATGGTAAGCTATGGGGAGAACTGCGCTGAGTTTTAAGGGGAAAAAAACGGAAACATAAAGTATGGGAAAAAACCTGACGAAAGAGGAAAAAAAAACAACGGCAGATGTTTCGATTAAAAGCTTTTAAAACAGGGCTAAGTAACATATGTTATAACACAGAGATGACAATCCTAAGATCAAATAATTCATATTTTATTGTTCAGTTAGTGTGATCTTTTTTTTAAAAAAAAATCAGAATGTTTGACTGATGTTTTTCAGTTCAATGTCTCTGTCATTGTATTTATAATCAATGTGTCTGGATACGAAATCAGCAACTCTCTTGTTTTTGTCTTTTTTTTTATTTTTTTATCTCATATTGGTATTCTAAGAGAATTAAGGACCATCTGTTGATTTTGTTATTTTCTATTCGCTTTCTGTTTATGCCATTTATGGCTTTTAATTTGTTAAAATAATAAATTTTCTACCTAATAGGTACTTTTGTAGATTTGTTAGAGCGCACACCACGGCTAAGATTCTTTTTCAATAGTAGAATAATTGATTTCAGTTTTTCTTAATGATCGACTTAAATAAATAATTGGTCTGAGTTTGTTGTTCAATTCTTGCATGAGGTAAGCTGGTCTGAGTTTGTTGTTCAATTCTTGCATGATGCAAGCTGGTCTGAGTTTGTTGTTCAATTCTTGCATGAGGTAAGCTGGTCTGAGTTTGTTGTTCAATTCTTGCATGAGGTAAGCTGGTCTGAGTTTGTTGTTCAATTCTTGCATGAGGTAAGCTCCTCATCAGTTGTTTGATGCATCAGTTATTAATGTGAAACGTTTATTAAAGTTAGGTGACACTAGTATGTTTTCACTTTGAACAATTTCTTTGATTGTTCTTAATGTTGTCTCACAATCATTTGTCCACACTATTTGTTTCTTGTTGTTTTTATTTATTAACTTTCTTAAAAGCAATGCTGTGTCTGAAAACTTAGGTTCAAATGTGCTGTTGAAACTACATAGACCTAACATGGCTTTGAGATCCTTTTGGTTATAAGGGGTTTTTATGTTCAGTATTTTTTCATTGTTTTGTTCTGTAGGTTGAATGGCGTTCTTACCAACTCCAAATCCCGAAAATCTATCTGATCTTGAGCAAATTTCACTTTGTTTGGTGCAATCGTTATACCGTGTGTTTTTAACTTCTCTGACTTGTTTTAGTGTTCCTACGTGTGTTTTCATGTCTTTTGTATGTACACAAATATCGTCTACGAATTGTACAACATTGCGCATTTCGGTGAGCCTTATCCTCATAAATTTGTCATCTGTGATATACAACAAATAATTAGCGAACACTGTTGCCAGCTGCATGATGACGGACTTGTCCAATATTTTAAGAAATGAAATTTCAATAAGGCAAAAGGAAAGTTTAATAGTTTTGTGGAAAAAAACTCCCATGGGGAATGGTAATATTTATATCATTATTTTTAAATATATATATTTTTTTTTTTAACTTTGGAGACTAGGCTCGTTCAAGTTCAAGTCATTTTTTGTGTAATACATTTTGATTTATTATTATCTTGCTCATAAATGTAAACAAAGTCCAAGGTTCCCAGCATTGGGGAAAAAACTCTTATGGAATGGTAACATTTCCTTTATTAATTTTTACATTATCCTCTTATTCTTTTTAATTTTGGATCCCCGTGCTTTCTCAATTAATTCTTTGGCATTCACCGTTATCGTGCTCATAATAATTTTTACTGACAACAAAATAAAAGTTTCAAATATCACACCAAATTAGTTAAACAAAGAAAATAATGAACTTTTAGTTATATTTGTTTAAAAATTAATGAAACATCATTACTTTTTCTATTGTGTATAATTAGACTAAAGTAGCCTTTAATGTAAAACATAGGCCTTCACATGGATGCGTGTATCACTGTTTGTAAAATAATTATGTAGTGGGACAGTATTATCAAACTAAACCAACATTCACTCAACTTTTGTTCAGTCTAGGTCGAAAATCATTTTTAAATTTCGGCTAGGTTTTGTTTTCGGCCGAAATCATAAAATCAATTTCAGTAGGTCTCTAATATAATTGCCGTTCAGTGCAGTGGTCCATAAGCCGACATTTTACTGGCCCGCAAAGAATGAAGAGTTAAGATAATTAAAAAAATGCAATTGTCATTAAATTGTTCACTGATCCATTCTGAAATTAAATTGTGAATAACTTCCTCATAGCCCTGACACACTAAAAATTTTGAGAACCCCTGCCCTAAGATACTTTTAATAGCAATTATATTGAGATAAAAAGCATTCTCCATTTATTATCCCTTGAGATCAGTTCAGTTGTTCTGAAACTTTAAAAAAAAAAAAAAAACGAACCAGCCCTTGGCGACATCAGCTCAGCTTCACTCTCTCCCTTTAAAAAAAGTGTCTTGAAAATGTCTTAACGAGCAGATAAGGCCATAGAAAGAGTACACGTCATTAAGCTAAAAGCAAGCACACATGTTTAAGTTAAAAAAACCAAATAAACTGATTTACTCCATGCAGTGGATAAGATTGTCTAAGCCTTATAGTACAATCATTAAACCAGATGTTCTAAAACTATGAAATATAATTTACTTAAGGTTGATATCACCATTCCCCTAGCCCCTGCAACATAATTATAACTAAAAGAAGACCACAGGGAAAGAAGAACCCCAAAAGTCTAAACACGACAAGTTTAAAGAGCCAGAATCTTTTGTGGATGCTGTGAAAAAACCCTTTGAAACCCACATCTCCAGACAAATCACAACGTCAAATCGGATTGAATGACGATTTAAACTTTCGAATCGCTAAATCCATCACAAGAATTAGCACAACATTTGGCTAGATGTCTAAGAATAAATGGACAAGAAGAGGTATCAGCACCCATACCAAAAAAAAAAAAATTGACAGGGCAGATGTACTCACAACACAAATATAGCTTTGTGAAATATGGCATGTCTATCAACTCCATACAAGGAAACTAAACCACTTTCACACGACGCGCCTTCGAAAAATCTCCAACATTAACAGACAAGATACGATCCCAGACACTGAGGTACTCGCAAAAGCAGGTCTCCCCAGCATAAACACATTATTAATGCAGTCCCAGCGTCCCATGTTTACGAG